TAGGTGGGCTCTGGCTTTGTCTGAAGTGCTGGGCTGTGTGGGGGTGTCCCCAGCCTGGGGACAGGTCACTCAGCAGTGGCACGAGGCCTGTTTAACAGTGTGCTGTGGGTGTTCTCTCCTGACAGGCTGGCAGAAACCACGGTGGTGTATCCCGCTGATGTTGTCCTCTTTGAGGGGATCCTGGTTTTCTACAACCAAGACATTCGGGACATGTTCCACCTGCGTCTCTTTGTGGACACGGACTCTGACGTGCGGCTGTCCCGCAGAGGTAAAGCCCTGCCATGCTCCTGTTCCTTACCCGTCCCCACCATGGGACAACACTCAGGGCTTTTATCTCCCCATCCCAGTTCTGCGAGATATGAAACGTGGGAGGGACCTGGAGCAGATCCTCACCCAGTACACCACGTTTGTCAAGCCTGCCTTTGAGGAGTTCTGCTTACCAGTATGAAGCCTTTCACTAATTTCATTTGTGGGGTCTTTTTTTGGGGGGGAGGGGTAGAGGAGCAGGGTTGTTTGGGAATTAGCTGCTGTAGGCGAAGCACTGGTGGCTTTTGGTATTTGTATTTCACAAATCCCACGCTCTCTTCTCTTCCTCATGTCCTCAGCCATTTTGAGCTGGTTGTTAAGGAACTGAAATTGTCCCTTCTGCTGGCGAGGCACCATGGAAATGCCTCAAGCACGTTTTCTCACTGCTGGCTGCTGGGGCTATTTAAATATGGGTCTCTCTGAATGAAACACTCCCACTCTCAGTTTATTCTTAAGTCTTGTAGGAAGAAAGAAAAGCTTGGTTTCCAGCAGCCTTTCTCAGAGGGAACACTGATGAAAACCTGGGGCAGATCATTCTAGCTCTGCTTGCTACACTGTGAGGCCAGTTTAGGTGCTCAAACAATCAAATTAATTTGTAAAATTAAAAAAAAGCTATGAGAACAAAATCCGGTATGTGGATTAAATAAATAGGTAAAGGCTAACTCAGGCGCCTCTTGCACTAGATCAAAGGGATTCTGAAACTACTCATTAGAAATGCTGGATTTGCCAGCTTTTTTCCAACTGTTGGAGGAAAGAAAATGCAGGAGTGCTATGGCGGCAAAGATCAATAAAATGTTATCAGAGGCAGGCAGGAATTTCACGTGCACATTGGATACCTTGGCTCTCAGCAGAGATTTAGCAATAGCTTGCGAAATGCTGATTAAAACCAGCTCCTGGCAAACAGACCTTGCCTAAAGTGGGCAGTGTTTGAAGGCAGCTCAGATGGGTAAAATCAAAGGACTCCACACGAGACCTGCTGATTCTACCTGGTGGTTCTCTGCAAAGGGACAGTAAGAAGAATCCCTGGGCTTAAATCCAGTGCGTATTTGCCAGTGTGATATTGTAATTAATTTAGGTTGTTACCATGAGAGAGAGCTTTAATTGACAGCCGTGAAGCCCCAGCACCTTCCATCTTTGCCCAGTTTTCTAGACTTTGGTTGCTTCTTCCCGGAATGAAGCTGACTTTTCCCATTAACAACCTCCTCCACCACTGTTTCTGTTTTTCAGACAAAGAAGTATGCGGATGTGATCATCCCCCGAGGCGTTGACAACATGGGTAAAAGGGAGTTGGGTTCCCTGCATTCCCTGGGGAGACACCTTTGGGGTTGGGAAGAGAGCAGGAGGCACACTGCTGCCTTGAGTGCCTGCTCCTGAGAAGGGGTTTTTGCTGGAGGGGAGGGAGCTGCTCAGCCTGATCAGAAGGACCAGCTGCTCAGCCTGTGGAGGGCTGGAGAAGTGACCCGTTGAGGTCTGACCTCACTGCAGACAGCAGGCAGAGTTTCATTTAAGGGCTTGTTAAAACTCGAGTTGAGCAGGGCTGGATGCTCCGCATTTTCTAGATAACTCAGCCAGGAGAGCCTTCATGTCCTGTATTCGCCGTTCCTCTCTGCAGTTGCCATAAACCTCATCGTGCAGCACATTCAGGACATCCTGAACGGAGACATCTGCAAGTGGCAGCGGGGGGCGCTGAACGGGCACGGCCGGACGTACAAGCGGCCGTTCCCGGAGCAGGCGGAGAGCGGCTCCGTGCTGGCGGCCGGGAAGCGCTCCCACCTCGAGTCCAGCAGCCGCCCGCACTAGCCCGGCACGGCCCAAGGGTTTGCCTCTGGTCCACACCAACACCGAAGACAACTTTGGGAAAGGACTTCCATGGAATGGTTGGTGAAGTGCCCCTTAAGTCGTCCTAGCAGCGGAGGGGATCCTGGTGGCAATCTTCTCACAGAGGGAAGGGGTTGGCCATCCATCCCTCTTCCCTCCAAAGCCCTCCCTGTTCTCCCTGAGATGTCCGGAGTTGTTACTTGATGAACTGGTTAAAGGCAGTGCTACCTGCCTTTTTTTAATTTTCAAAATGAGATCTAATACTGAAGATTCCCCTGAAAATTAAGCACTAGCAAGATACCCCATTTCCCTGATGATGGTCAACTGTAGCAGGAAAATCATCTGCCTCTTGAGTGTTTTTCTCTCTATCCAAGACTAGCTCACATGCTGTTAAATTTAACAAGCTCTTACTCTTCTCCACCTTGTTGGTACCTTGAGTTGTGGCCATGCTCTGCTGCTGGCCAGCCTCCTCCTAGCCTGTGGGGTCAGAGGGACTGACCTGTAGAGGCACCTCTCCCTTGAGATAGGGGTGAGACAGAGACTGGGACAAATGGGAACTTGCCGTTCACCGGGGGACAGGCCCAGGAAGTTCAGTGGTTCTAATTCCTAATTAGTGATTCCTAATTTATTCATTTCCAAGCTCCTGAATCTTGCTACACTGTATGATTATTTTTTGTATCCAGTTGTGCTTTACCACAGTAACTGAATGTGTGAGCTCCAACTGGATTGAGTTGCTCATGGAAACAGAAACCTGACCTTGTCAGTATCAGTGTCTTTTAGTGCATTTCTGTACTGCTGGTTGCAAATTCTGCTGGGCAGAATCCGTCCACTTCCAGAGATGGCTAGTGAGGTCAGCAAGGGGGGAAACTGGGAATTGCAGGACCCTCCTTTTCCTGGCACAAGCAGCTGCCTGGACATGTTGTACCCTCAGACAGGGTCAGAGCACTTGCCTTGCACTCCAGCAGCTTCAACTCAAGAATGTCTGGCTTTCTAAAAAGAGCCAGTCTCTCTAAAGAGAGACAAGAAGTACAAACAGTGATATCCCAGTTTCTGTAGTTTACTCCAGATAAGTGATACTGCAGCAGCATGAAGTGTCTGTCTGGGGAAAAAAAATGCAATGAAGTGCTGGTTGGACCTTTGAAAATGTCCTTGTGATACTGTTCTTGAATCTGGATTTACAGTGTAATTTTGAGAATGACGGTGGGAGGGAAATGTTATTAAGAGGAACTTTTTCATATTTGCTGATTTTCTAAAAGCAGGGTTTGGCTGTGTTGATTGTGGGTGTGTTAGTTTGGCTAATAAATAAATGAACAGCAATCAGAAATGACCATTTTTATAAAAGGTAATTCTGGTACTTGCACTATGCTAGCACAAAGGCACAGAAGGGAACACTTCTGGAGAGGTTCTTATACTCAACAGTTCTTTCTCCCCTTAACTAAGAATTGTTACCTTTGGTTCTGTCGTGGCTGAAAATTTTTAAAAACCTCCCTAAACTTAAGAAATGCAATCTGCACTTTCATCCCTGTAGTCTTTTCAGCTCTGGAAAGGGGTGAAGATTTGGTGTCTCAGTGATAGTTCAGTGGTACTTCAGCAGTGCCCAGGAGAAGGCAGAGCATTTCCTGACTGCTGCTGGTGCCGTTTAACTCAGAGTGACAGACTTAGAGTATGAGCTACTGCACTGAAGCATTAGCTCTCAGGGCTGATTACAGTAGGAGCAAAATAGTCACTAAAACCTACTTTGAATGACTGTGGTGTTGGATCATATCTTCCTCGGGGGGGTGGGGGGAGCCTTGAATAGAATTATTTAGAGCAGTGAGGAACTGCACAGCCAAGAGCCCCTGGGTGTGGGAATGCTGCTCTGGCTGCCCTGCAGGACCTGCTGCAGCTGCAGGAGATACAGAAATGGAACGTGGCCCAGGTACTACAGCCCTGCTCAGACACCTGGACAGAGCCCAGACAAATTCCCCACTGAGTCCTCAGTCCTTCACCTCTGCCTTCTTCTCTGTGAATTCTCTGCTGGTGCAGGCCAGGCCATGGGCTGGGTTTCAGTGTTTTCACTCTGAACCCATGTGCACAAGTTGGAACGGGTTTCCTTGTCAGCAGGATCAGTCCTACCTTGCCCAGGGTTCCTTTTCCCATGGGATCTGAGGTGTAATGGCAATACTGCCACTACTGGTAACAGGCCTCAGGCTTCACATCAGTGCCATAAGGCCAAAAGATTCTTCTGGCTTTGGCTCAATTCCTGGCTTGCCTGAAGCCTTCTTCAGCTGTAACAGCGATTTTTAATGTCTTTTTATTTTGCTTATCTTCTTAAAAGTGATGCTTATGTCAGATGATTATAAATAGATAATAGTAACAAGTCATTATTCTATGCAGAACGAGCTATTTATAAATGTAGCTTAATGCTGTGTTTACATAAATAGAAATGATAGCAGAGCATTGGAAGTTGGGGGCAAATAATGCATTGTTGAGGAATAGAGTAATGGAACGATGCTGCAGGGCCAGTTACTGATTGTTAAAGAAGGGTAGGCTTTAGGGAGGGAAAACCTGGGTTTCGGGCATAACAAAGAAAACAGAAAAAAGTACCTGATGTGTTGGAAAGAGTCCATTGATAGTAAACATATAATGGGATTGCAGACCACAGTGACAGGAAACACATGAAATAGCCCTAAGTGCAATGCAGTGCCAGAAGGAAGAAACCACCCCTGTACTCCCAGGAAAGAGAAGAAATTGTTGCAGCTCTTCCCAGCAAAGGAGCCTGGGATGCTGTAAACTGAAGGCAGCAACCTTCACACCCTGAGGGGCAGTGAAGGGTGAATGTAACAGGGGCAGAAGCTGGGAACTGTGCTCGTAACAGCTGTATTACTGTAGAGACCTTTTCTGTAACAGTGTTCCTTTATGTTCTTCTGTAATCATTAGATCTGGACTACTACAAAAATAGCTGAACCGACTGTTAAGATTTCCATGATACTAACAATAAATTCTTGGCTTTGCACAAAAGGTGTTTCCTTTTGCTGTCCCAAGGCTGGAGTGGTCAGTGCTTTCGGATCAGGATGTTCCAGGTGTCCTTCCAGCGCAGGGCCCTGAGTTCCGTGGGGGACAGCGCGGGCTGCCCGTAGGTCACAGGGCTGAAGGTGCAGTACACAAAGTACACCGAGGAGAACCAGGCCACAATCAGGGCACTCAACATGCTCTTGAGCAGCACAGATCTGGGATGAGACAGGGAAAGAGCACTCGAGTTACATCAAGGCAGGCCAAACACTTCATCCAAAAGACGTGTGCCTGGCCTGGCTTCCCTAAAGGCAAATGATAGAGTTTAGCCAGTGCTGGAAAAAACACTGCTTTCCCTGCAGCAGCTTGCCCAGGTGACAGCCCTGGAGAAAGAGCTGTGCCAGTCCTCTTGTTCAACAGAACTATTCTGCTGAAGCCAAATACCTGCAGAGATGCTCTCCAAGATGCTGCAGTACCACAGGAATCAGGAGAATCTGGAATGTGACAGCAGGCAGGTAGTGGTACAGGAAAAGTGTTTTCTCCATCAGGAAGAAGGGCAGGTAATTCACAGCCCAGCCTCCAGCACAGATGCCTCCTGCTGACGTCCAGAGCTGCCAGGCATCTGCAGGAGACAGGAGATGGCATCTCAGAGCAGAGCAAGGCACAAGTCTCCAGCTGGACACACACACACAGAGTGCAGCCAGACCTTCAGAGATGTCGTAAATCTTCCTTCTTCGCCGCAGCAAGTACCACAGGGACAGACACAGGTAGACCAGAGCAGCAGCGTTACCTGAAGCCCAGGTGGCAACATTCCCAAGGAGGTGGATCTGGGCCTGCAGGATAGATGATGGTCTAAGCCAGAAGCAGGAACATGTTGCAATTCTTTTAGGTAAGTTTAAATATTACCTAAACAAACTTGCTACATTAAGCTCCAGAATGTGCCCGCTTAGTAACCTGGAACAAAGCTGGTTGATACATTTGCTGCTTTAAGACTCTTGTGTAATGAAAGGCATTTAAAGGTTGTTATTGGAGATGAACTCATCTTCTACATGAAATCAATAATGGAAACTATTAAACTGCAATTTACCTTTTAAAAAAAAAAGCACAAGCAAACATGATTTAATTAAAAGCAACTATTGTCAAAGCTGTATCTCATGCTAAAATAAATACCTCATCCCTCATGGAAAACATATTAATACAAGAAAAGTCCTTGGCTGGAAGCTGCAGCCCTGCTCTGACCCACTCCTGGAGCTCACATCTGAGCTGTTCTGCTTTCTCAACAGCCTCACAGCTACTTCTACCTCTTGCACTTACTCCCGAGGTGGGGTGGAGCCAGTACGCAATATTGGTGTCCATTGTGATCCAGTCCAGGGCAGAGGAGCTGTACTTATGTTCTGTGTCTTCATTTTTTAATGTGAGTATTTTCCACTAGGAAAAAAAAAAGGTAAGCAGAAGGCTTTCAGAACTGGAACAACAGGTGGGACAGCAGGTATAAGTGAACAGCTCGAGATGTAAGATGTTAAGTTCCTAAGCTGGGAGTGGAGAAGTATTTTACATATCTCATATGGATACTGATCAATACAATGGCTTTATTTTGTTATTAAATAATGCACTTTCCTTAATGAATTTCTACAAAGATAGTAAGGGGCATCAACACTACTCACTGCACGTACCACACATTACAGTTCAGTTTCAGGCAGCTTCTGGGTGCCCAACCAATTTTCCTCCCCCCTTTTTTGTTACACAATCACTTGGGTATTCATTACTGGACAACTCAGGTCTTTAATGCCCTTATAAGTGCATTCAGAAATATTTTTTTACAGTGAGGAAGCCAAACTATCAGCAAGGATTAAACAATGAATCCTCAGGCTCAGTCTGCAGAAATGCTCAGGTTCCTGCTCTGCAGCAGAAAGAAAAAGGAAAGGAATAAGAAGACAATCACCTGCAATTCTGTGAACTTTGCCATGAAGCTGAGGTTTTTACTGATGTCCATCTGTGTGGGAGAGTGGAGTTCCACTTCCCTCTCTTTTTGCTCTTGGCCTGGAAGAAAACAGCAAAGCTCGGAAATAACCACATAACAGGTAGAAAGCTAGAAAGGTGAGAGAGCACACAGGCTCCTCACTCCCCTAGGAGCCCTTCTCCAATACATCATCAACTGCAGCAGCACTTGAAGGGACTTTGTAAGGATTCTGACACCATGGAAGAGCCAACTGAACACACACACAGTACCACGTTCCCATCACCATGAAGTGAAACCTGCTTCAGGAACATGGCTGACACATACTTTTCCCATATCTGTGCTCTTCCACATTCCACACCATGCTCTGGTGGTAGCCTTTGGACAGCTTCTCTCCAACCACCTCCAGTTGCCGGTATCCCCACTCAGGCAGAGATGCTCCACTGAGCTAAAAGAGAAAGACAACTGTGAACTTTTAAACTGAAAGTTCTACCAGTTTGAACTTCAGGATGGAAGAAGTTCCCAGGCTCTGCTGAGCACTGGGTGACAGCAAGAGACTGCCAGAAAATGTGTGAAGAGTCACCACGCAAAACTCTCAATAAATGCTACAGCCATAAAATCACTGATTCTGGCAAATTTTTGTGAAGAAAAAGATCCTTAATTATTCCTGCTGCTCTCACAGACACATAGACTAAGCCCCAGCTGTGTAGAGTGGTCACAACCTCTTGAGAAGCAGGACAGCTTTGATACTAAAAGGGATGAAGTACCAGTGTGACTACCTAAAACACATGTTGCTCTTTTGTCACATTGAGCAAATTTATTGTTTCCTTTAAATTACTTACTTGGTTATTCTATTATAGTGGTGTAGCTATTTCGGAGCACAGTTTTTGAGATTACAAGAAGTGCATGAAGCAAAAGCTACAGGCAAACAAACATAACCTCACTTGCCTTTAGCACTGCAGAGGTGTTCACGTGAACAAATCTCACTTCTGACAGAATTGTCTTCCACACATCCGTGTCAGACTCACGATTTACAATTTCCTACAACAGAAAGATGCCTTTTGATCCATGTTGTCTCAGCTGTTTCTGCTGGAGCCTGATCAGCTCCTCCCCTCCCTCTGACCACTCACCACTCTCCAAAGGTTCTGTGCTGGCATGGAGATGTTATAATCAATATAGCAGGAAACTTCTTGGGAGTGTGGGCTAAGAGGAGCAGCGACATCATGCCTAAAAGACAAAAAAAGGAAGATCCTGCACCACCATTTCCCAAATACATATAAAAAGCAAACCCATATGGAATTGGCTTAGACTGGATTCAGTAATAAAGCAAAAAGTAACTCACTTATAGAGATTGCACTCTACTCTGAGAGAGAGCATTCCCCAAAACCAAGAGCTGCCAGGAACAGGCTCAGAGGAAGCCAATGCAGATGCCTGTGATGCCAGGCTGAAGAACAAGCACTGATTGTGACAAACAGAGACGCTGTTCACTGGGGTTTCCAATAATGAACAAATTAGATTTGGAAGGGACATAGCAAAAACCCAAGCTCAGAACAACCCCCTTCCTAATCTGAGTGATATTCAAGTACACACAGATGCCCTTTGGGAAGCATCAGGAGGCAACTTCATACTGCAGGCTTTCAAAACAGGCTCTGGCAATCAGCCACAGCACACCGGATTGTCCAGCACATCTTCCTAACTTCCAGAGCACATCCTTCAGGTAGGAGCATGCCATCAAAGTCAGTGCAGCTGGATTTGGGTTAAGTCACACAAAATACTAAATACCTGTACCTGTATGGAGTGGGGGCAATGAAGGGGCAAGGAAGAAGACTCACAGAGGGGACTCTGTATTTAGGAATCTGCAGAACTACCATGAAATGTGAACAACTGTGAAATCCTCTAAAGGCCACTGGTAGGGAAGAACAGAAGCAGTAAGCAACCATTAAGAAGTTTGTGATTAGAATCAAATCCCTCAGCCAAGTCAATCAGAAAAAATTAATAAGAATACAGCATCCTTCCTCTGGGCCACAGGGATAGTGTATGGAACTAACCACATGAGGTCCCTCCAAGGCTCACTGGTGTAAAAATCCACAAATAACTAGCAGTTGATGGCATACCTGAATGCAAGGTCACTATGTGGTTATTCTGAGAGCCAGCCCAGCAGAGTGAGGCAGCAGGCTTGGCAGAGCAGAGCACGAGGGAAGGACTTACGTGTTGAGGTAGCGAGTTGTGATGCCGTGGACCAGCTGCACGATGTGGCCGTGCCTGACGGGCCGTGGTGGGTTACTCACCACCAGCTGCTGCCTGGTGAAGGGACACCCAAGAGCAAATGGTCAAATTGGAAATGGTTACATTAGATGCATCTTTATATAGAACACAACCTTGTCATGACCAAGTTGTTAGGTCAAGAAGCTGCATGTGGGGACAGGCGTTTAGGCAAGAAAATGAGAAATTCAAGCAATATAGAGGTTGTACCAGAATGGAAACAAAGCTCATCAAGGCAAAGGTGAATTAAGGGCAGAATGAGTCAGAGGATCAGTAATGGGATACTGGCACTCCAGGCATTAGGTCAGTGGTCTGGATCCAGGTCAGTCAGCAGTGAATTAAGGTTATTACTGTCACACAGCTGTTTGGTGGCTTGTGTGAAACACTGAGTGCTTCACTGAGTCTGATGGGTGCTGTACTACAGCTGGTGTCACTTTGGCAGAATTAGAGGAGAGATCAATGGCTTTTGCACCATGTAGAGTAAACTCTCACCTTGCTTCTGGTCAGGGCCATGGCAAGGGGGAACACTGCAGTTCAGTGAACTGCTGCCTGTATTTTACTGTTCCATAGAATGACTTCATGTCCTCCAATGCTCATAGGAGTCTTTTGAGTTTGAAGAATTTTAAGAATTGAAGAATTTTAAGTATGTTGGGTCTGTGGTTCTGTTAGAGTCCCTACTTGAAAGGTTTGCACCATGGACAAACTTTCCCAACATGGATATAACTTGTAATGGCACACAGTCCTTCTGACAGGACTCTTTATACAGTTCCCAGGACAATATAAGAAACCTACAAAAGCAACTTTTTGATCAGTATGGAATTGCCACTCAAAGGCTTTTACTGGCAAAACAAGGACAGAGAGTCCTGCTCTGCACTGACAGTGACAATGACAAAACACTTCAGCACTAAGCAGGCCTCTCGGGTACAGGCACCACTTGGAATCCTTCCTGGCAGATCTTACAGCTCATTCCATGCTTCTATATAATACAGAGAACTACACATTTTTCAAAAGTGTTTTCTACTCTTTTCTGAAACTCATTCAAGTTTGATAAAACTCATCAAGACACTCTAACACCATGGCTCACACTTCAAAAAGCAGTTTCCCTTTCATGCAAAACACCTGAAGAATCTCCACTGGTCTTGTGAGTCTTTCAAGTTCCCCTTGAGCACAGCACAGCCCAGGTTCTGGCAGGAGCAGCTCAGACAGAATTTCAGAGTTCTCAGTAATGCTTTTACCACATTGAGAACGATTGTGCAAAGAGCTGCAATCACTTGCTCAGATCACACCAGGCTTCTACACCCATAAGCAGAGAAGAGTTGCACCCAATCCAATCCAAACCCTGGTTGGGTTTTGGAAGCATATAGGTTGAATTTAAAACTCTTGCATACTCACATTCCAGGATCTTTGACAATCCACCAGTTGTTCACATCCTTGAAGGGATAGCAGGTCACCTGCTGTTGATGGGAACTCCCTCGGCCATTCTCATACCTGCACAGGAAGTTCCAAAACCCCACAGAGGTGTAAAGGTTTATCTCTGTGCTCACCATCCCAGCAGTGCAAACCAACACCACATCACTGATCATTCCTCCAGAGCACAAGGACTCTGAAGGATTAATGAAGACATTGCCAAGACCCAAGCTGCTGTACTTGGACTGGCAGGTGAAGAAACAGAGCCAACTTCCACCATCCCCACAGAGAGCCAGGCAGATTCCTCACCTGATGGGGTAAGTATTGGTGTGAGAGTGGAGCCAGCACTGCACGGGCTTGCCCAGCACGTTCCGCAGGGTGATCTGAGAGCCATAGGCCACCTCCAAGGGCTGACCCTGAGTGATTCGAGCCAGACCACCCTGAGAAGGGCAAGGACAGGGTAAGTACAAAGAAGAAGAAACAACCCAGAGGCTGTTTAAATTCTGTTGAGTCACATGCCAACACATTCAACACAGCAGTATCTCCACAGAGTGCCTTCTTTACCAACCAAAATCAAGTCTTGCAGCACCATAATCAATAGACAGTAAATACACAACATCTACAAATCTAAAAGACTACAGGGTCTCAGGAAATATCCCTAAAGTCATGTTCTAAAAGACTGGCTAAGCAATCCTATGGTATACCATGTCACCATGTGAGAGTTCAGTAGTGTATCTATTTCTGTGGAGTTTCCTGTAGGAAGGGACAATCCTTCAGCAGAAGAGTAAATATATATTGTTCTTGCTTCACTGGGAAAGGCTTTTCATCTGTTATTAGGATTTCAGTCATTATTACTTCACCTTAAAGCAGTACCACAGCAACAAAATAGTTAAATGACATAAAAGGGAAGAAATATGCAGGATCAAAGGAACAGGATTAAACACCTAATAGTGAACATTTCCCCCTCTTCTCTCTCATAAATCAGTTCCAAGACCACATTACCTCTAAGCTGGCTTGGAAAGCACTTGTCATGATCTGGTCATGAGGCCCAGAGCGATACAGCAAAGCCAAGTGAACATAGAAGAAGGAGAGATACAGTCCCACGGGGATGATGATGAGGGCCAGACCTCGGGCTAGAAAATGGCACAGCAAGGAAACCTGGAGGAACAGAGAAAACTCATTGGTTTCATGCTCTAGATATTAAAAATTCTGGAGCACTTAGCTTGTTTTTTTTTGTCTTTTCAAAGTTTCCCCACTGCTCTCATTCAGCTGTAACTTTGAGGACAACTGGGTAACTTCCAGCAAGGATTTGAAGTGGAGCTGGCAGGAGTGTGTGAGACAAGTGCATGTTCTGAGTCACACATCACTAAGACATGGAAAACAGCAGAAAAGACAGTCACACACACGTATTTTTTTAAACTTAATTCCATCTTCCCCAGCAATTGAGCTGGGATCTGTGCTATGACAGGAGGGTTTCCAGACAAGGAATTTGAGTACAAAAGCCAGCTGCAGACTGCATTATCTGTCAGCTTGAAAGGCTCCTGCAATGAAAAGTGACAAATAATATATTTTGCATGCTGTACTACATACATTTGACAAGTTCTGGTCTCCTATCATGTGCCAGAAGTGGAGTCCTGCAGTGGCCAAGAGCAGCATATAGGTGAACAGGCCCATATACTTCACTCTGAGAAGAAAGTGCATAAAAAATGAACACGGTTAAAAACTACACAATTACCTAACACAAGATATAAATATCCAAACATTCTCTTGAACAGTAGGCATTAAAGTCCAGGTAAGACATCATCACTTACCCAACTGCACAAGAACAGGATACTCCAGTCAGCAGGAGCCAAAACCACCAGCTTCCAGAGAAGGCACTTAAAGATAAATGTATTAAATCACTTGCTAGGCTCAGTTTAAAGGTACTTTTACTTTACTAAGGATTACTTCATCCTCTGCAAGGATCAGAGAACAAAAGACACAAATATCTCTAAATTCAGTGCCTGTAAAAAATTGCAAAGGAGCATTAAGTGACCTGTTATCATCAGCGTTTCTGTGCACAGAAGGAAACCTTCCAGTAAAAAATCTGGGTGGGCAAAGAAGTGGTCCTAAGGGATTTTATTTCTATTTTAAAATTTAAAAAGACAACCCTGCTAGCAGTCAAAACAGGCTTTAACACTGCTCAGGAGAAAAATTCTGGGGGAGCCATATGAGAGGTTGAAGCATTGGACTTTACAGACAGGTGAAGTGAGTTACAGAACGGTTAAGAGGCATAGAAAAACACAGTCTGTGACAAAAGAAATAAAAGTCACCATGAGAATATCCAAAAGGGTGAGAGACAATCCAGCTTTACCTGTGCTTTTGCAAATTGTAGAACTTCAGGTAGGACAAAACTGCAAGCAGGATAAAAAAAATCAGTATTGATTCCAGAAGCATGAACCTTGATTGAGTGATCAGAGAGTTCTCTGTTGGAAAAGAGAGACAGAAAAAATTAGAGAAACTCATCTATAGGCAAGTGCTGCCTCAGACAATCACACTGTTATCCAACACAAGGATCTGCCCTTTTAGGGACAGACAGTTCCTGCTGGGTTTAGAGGGACAAAAACCTTCCAGCAGGAGCGAATTACATGGCCATAACTGTTTCCAAGACAAAGAGGTGAGCAAGCAGTGCAGTCTATCAGGAGGCAGATAAAGCTGCTGCACCTCCTACACAAGCAAAGAAAATCAGTCCTGGGAAATCCAGAGAGGTGCTTCTCAAAGCAAAGAGTCCAGGCAGCGAGCACAGCAAACAATGAGCACTGCAACAGATCTGCAGGAAAGGGAGCTGCAATGAACCAGAATCAGAGCAGCTGGTAGCTGGGAGAGGTTTCTCTTATCAGGCTACTAAAGAGTTGCTGAGAGGCTCTTTCCCTTTCAGGCAGCTGCCAGCAGCCCCTCAGAGAAAACAAAACCAGCTGAGTTGTACACACCAGAACAGTGTCAAATCACAGTGCTAAGGACACAGGCTGGTTTGCTGAAGAAATTTAATGAGGTCTGACTGCAAGTTGAGTTGTCCTGCTGTTAAAAACCAGTATGTTGTAACTCATCCTGTAAACCTCTGAGGCAGGGAGTACAGGCCTCCTTGGATACAAGAAATGTGATTTCCTGTGAGGCTGTTAAAGCTGCCTGGATATGATATATTCTGAAATGAATACTGTATGATACTGAAATGAACTTGTATAAAGCCCAGAAGGGCAGCCTGCTGCAGAGCTGAGAGGATGGAGGAGACCAGGGAGGCTCAGCACAGACTGACACAGGCCAGGGTTGATGTATTGTTAATGTTTTCTGGGGAGATGCTACTCCCCCTAAACATTCCTAAGGAGAAAAGGGACTCTTCTCCTCATGTATAAAGAATGGGGCTCAGTTGAACAATCTTACCCAAGAGAATCAGAAGAGCAGCTCCAAGTGCAGCACAGTGGGAGAGGTGCAGTTCAACCAAAATCTGGTAAGCTAAAGGCACACAGAGAGCACCAGCCAGGGCTGGCAGGAATCGCAGGGACCACACAGGAACATTCATGCTGTATTCTGAAACAAAAAACAGGAAACAGTGATCCATCAGTTTGGAGATTTAACTGCAGAGAGGACAGACCAATACAGAATTTCTTAATTGTTAGAGGAATGTAACTCCTACTTGCACTAATTCGTTCATCTTGTGTTGCTTAAACTGTTTAGCTAATTTAGAAAGTCTGTGCTATGAATTCATAGTGCTTTTAACTTGTGCTAGAGAACTGCAGAAGACTTATTTAAAAAGAGAAGAGAAATGAAGGTTTTGGATAAAGTGTTATTTCCATTAGACAGGCAAAAGGAATCTGTCAGTTGCTGAAATTCTGCTTATTTTCTCTAAAGAATGAGACAGTTAAAAACAGCTCTTACCAGCTCCAATCCTGTTCCATAGGAAGTTTCCATCAAATCCTCCTAAGTAACCTACAACATAAAGAAGAGAATTTCCATTTTCACAGCACGTAAAACCTGGTGCTAAATTGGGAACCATTTCTCAAACATACAACTTTTCCTTGCATGAAGGCCCTCTTTCCCAAAAGGGTCCTCTTTGATACAGTTCTGTCTTGCAGCAATGCTTGAGAATGTGCAGAGGCACAAAGAATATCAATTGGGAACAAGGGATTCTCAGTGACAAAGTCAGATGTATATTTAATCCCTTCCTCCCATACAGACACTTCCATGTTGTGATATTTAAGTTACAGAAAGGAACCGAGGCTTGCTGCCTATTTCTTGTCATTTGCAGTTCTCATCCTACCTTTATCCAAAGGATTGGATAACAGTGAGGTGATGGACACATGGCTTCATCATCTCCCTCTACTCATGCAACAGCCAGCCTCCTAACAATCCTAAATAAAGGAAAACTCAATTTTCCCTACATCAGAGTTTCTCATCACTTGTGTTTTCCCCCATTAGTGGATCTGATGATTCATTTCTAACCAGCACCTCTCTCTTCTACAGCAACATGCAACAGGCACTTCCCAATTCCAGGAGACCCTACCTCCCAAGGCCAGCAGCATGTGGCCAAAGGGTGGGCCACTGTCATCCACAAAGAAGATCCTCTTCATGTAGAGTGAAACGAATTGGCCATAATAAACTTCATCGAAACTGAAACACCAGAGGCAGAAATGTGTCAGATCTAACTGCAATTATCCTGCAGGGATATTCAGAAAGCAAACACTGATTTCTTGGCAGAAAGCTAAGAATGCAATGAAGCACTGAGGCTTTGCCCCTTCTCCTCAGAGGGTTTTATAAAGGAACGACTATCACTGTATTTGGATTGTTCAGTCAGGAAAAGAGAAGGCCCACAGGGGTGGCCTAATTATGGCCTCCTGGTACCTGAAGGGAGCCTACAGGAATCTACAGGAGACTGTAAGAGCCTGGAGTGGCAGGAAAAGGGGGAATGGCTTCACAATGACAGAGAGTGGGTTGAGATGAATTTTTAGGAAAGAATTCTTCTCTGTGAGGGTGAGGAGGCCCTGGCACAGCTTGCCCAGAGAAGCTGTGGCTGCCCCTGGATCCTGGAAGTGTCCAAGGCCAGGTTGGACAGGGTTGGGATAGTGGAAGGTGTCCCTGCCCACGGCAGGGGGCAGAATAAGATGAGCTTTAAGATCCCTTCCAACACAAACCAGGCTGGGATTTTGTGATTCTACGATTTACAGAGGCTGACATAGTCAGGCTGTGCTCGTCTGCTCCTGCATTTTTGCTCACAAATGTTTGAAAAACAAGTCTGTGTCATTCAGGTAGAAAAGAAACTCATTACTCACACCACAGCTCGTGGATAGCAAAGCCCCCAGAGACGACTTATTAATCCCATCACAGTCAGTGCCACAAGGTTCACATTGATCTCTGCAGTGACCACAAATGGCTCCTTCAGAAATCCCAACATCCTGTCAAAGGTTTGTCTGAGCCTTTGAGAGCAGAAGAGAACAGCAGTCACCCTTTGGCTCACAGAGAGCTGAACACTTCACAGAAAGCATCAGGCCTAATTTCTACTACAGCTCATGGTAATTAATTTCCCCAAATTCTCTTGCTGTTCATGCTTCTGTGTTTCTATTCTATCTACAGGACTAATTGTAAAAATAAAGTTACTGAACTGACATAGTTTTTATCTGCCCTGCTTCTGCCTACAGTAGTAAGCTAAAAACCTTGTTTATTCTTACACTGGTTCTGCAGAAACACAGCAGCTTAATTCTCCAGCCTGTATTCTGCTTTGAGCAAAGCAAACTTTACAGCCCAAATTCTGATGCTACTGATGGACAACCGACTCAGGCACCAGATGACCTCACTAACTGAGCTATTTAGAGCTCAGGCAGCTTAAAAAAACCCCAAGTTACTTCCTTGTAAACGAAAGTATTTCTTTGGGAGTGGGGAAGGGAGGGGCAAATCCCCCAAACACCCTCTGCATTAGAATGCTGGTTACTGGAGCACGTCTAGGTGCTGTTTAAGAAGTGGTAAAAGCTAGGTCAGAAAAAGCAGAGAATTAGTGCCGTGCCTCCTCACCTCAACACAACGGAAAGTTACCAGAACAAATCCATCTGTGTGGCTTTGATCAGGGGAGAACAAAGCGAGATGCGAGCACATTACCACCATCCAGAGCGGTGCCACTGGCCTGGTTTCTCTCTGCCTATAAAACACAAGCGCTGAGGTTTTCAGGAGCCCCTGGCAGAGCCGTGCTCTCACCTGAGCCCTGTCAGCCCCTGGCAGGCGCTGGGACCCCGGGAGCACCTGATGGAAGGCCCAGATGTGCAGCATCACCACCTCGGGCTCCTCCTCAGGGTGTCCTCAAACCTCTGCCAGGCTCTGCGCCCCTGATGAGGGGGGAGCAGGGCCACCGTGCCCCACCCCGCCTTGTTCCCCCGTTAAGCATTCGAGGGGCAGCAGCACCACGGACCCCACACGTCGCCCTCAGAGGGTCACTAAACCTCACCACCCACCCTGTATCCAGCTCTGGATCCTCCCTTGAGTATTTTTGGGGCGCACAGGAGCACCAACCCGAGCCCCGCGAGGCCTCGCCCACCCCCCTCAGCTGTATGGAGGTGAAGGGGGCGCGGGGAGCAGAGACTGGGAACAGCATTAGGACCGGAATTAGCATCGGGACCAGGACCACGACGAGGAAGACTAGGACTGAGATCGAGAGCAAGACAGGGATCGTGACTAGGATCGGGACTAAGACCGGGACCAAGCCTAGGACTGGGATGGGAATCAGAATTAAGATCGGGACCCCCCCACGTCCCACACGGGCCCCGCGCGCTGGGGGGGGGCGTGGCCGTTCCGCGCCCCGCGAGCCACCCGCCCCCTACCTGGCGACACCGGATGTGACGTCAGACGCACGCACCGGCGCAGGGCGGAACAGGAAACCGGGGGTGTTGCCATGGCAACGCCGCGTGTGGTGACTGGGCCCGGCCTGTCCGCTATGGCGGCTGTGAGGGACCCGCCAGCACCTGAGTTCATGGTCATAACCACCTATCCGGCCGACGGTGCCAGGCACCACAAACAGCGTCCCTCCCCATCCCTACTCCAGGACATTCACACAACCTTTAAAAACCTTGGGCTTTTTTGTTGTGTGTTTCGGTTTTGGGTTTATTGTGGGTAGTTCTTTGGTTTTGTTTTGGTGGTGGGGTTTCTTTTGGTTTTTTTTTGTTTTTTTAATTATTAACTAAAATAACCAGACAAGGGACTGGGGAATTTGAGAAAAGCATAATCTGCTTTATTTTTTAATTTTTTTTTTTATTTAAATAAGGAGAATTCTTTCATATGGAAAGAGCTAATACAATCACATATTTGAAAGGAGAAACAATAGGTACTGAAACGAGGAGAAGGGCAATAAAGAGTGTGCCGCAACTGGCCTGGTGATTCCGTGATTCGAATTCCGGTCCAAGTAAAAGTTTCCAAAAAATATAAACAGGTTGCACGTTACACAATTATCCATCGTCTGCCCTTTCAAATATCTGGTCTACATGAAAAGACAAAGAGAGGAAAGGCCAAAAAAAATTTACTATACAGGTCATGAAGTTAAAAGCTTTAAGGAGGACAATATCCCCTTGAGAAACAACAAATGCAATTTATACAGAACCAGAGGGAGGATTCCAGCTAAGGACAATGCCTCAAGACATGCTAAAGGGTGAGCGCCTCACTGCTGCAGCTGTGATTCCTGGGGAACAGTCAAGGACATCTGGAGCAGCCAGACCAAGCCACTAAACCAAGGGAGTGTTTATGGCCACTGGAAAACCCGGTGGTCTTTGAATTAAAATAAACAACAAGAACAGCTGGACTCTACTGTTTCTTTTTTGCTTCAGCAAAACACACCTTTTCTGTCCATGGGCCACCACTAAGCACGCTGGTGGCTGTCGTAAATTAAATTTTATTCACCAATGCAACTTTCTTATGAAGAAACTGGGTTGCTGAATAAAAAATAACCAGTGCTACAAGGAATTAACTTGTGCTTAACCAGCCTGGAGCAAAAGAGAGGGTTAAGAAAATGCAACAGAAGAAGGTCCTGGCATGCAGGGATGCTGGCTGCAATGTGACTGGAGTAGCCAAGAGGTGAGACACAGCAAAAACACCGGGCTCATTTTGAATATCTATAAATACACAGGAACCACAGGGCAGGTTGTGGCTGCAGCATTCCTGCAAGGAAGGTGTTGATGGAGTGAACGCCACACACACGGGAGTGCAACGGGCAGCAAACACATCCAGAGGTGCTGACACTGCACAGCTGGCACAGCCAGGAGCAAGCTATGGAACATCAACAGCAATACCTGTGCCACTGGTGACTGTGCTGCTTCTGCTTGCATATTTAATGTATACTGGAGTGCCTTTTTTTCCCCCCCACTGTTTCTTTTTTTTTTTCTTCCCAGACTTCAATGTTGATTTGTTTTTATATCAAGAGCTAACAGCAGAAATAGTGGGGAAGGCAGCACTGACTGGAGCTGCTGGCCATGACTCTCTGTGTGACAGGGAACTGATCACACAGCTGCTTCAGAGCCTCTGCTGAACACGAGCAGCAGACTCAGCCTCTGAACATTCCTGCTTCACCCCTTGTTGCTGGAAAGATGGGCTCCACCTTTCCCTCCCACTGCACCATGCACCTTTCCCAGCAGAAGGAGCCTGCGATTTGGTAGCTGACTTCCAGTCAAAGCAAAAGCAACTCACAAAGGAATAAATCAGCAATAAATCAACCCTTCAGCAGTGCAGACAGCAAGCAGAAGGACTCTCTGTAACCGTATTGGTATATTCTGTGCATCTCCATCCTCCTCTCCACGCTGGATTTTTAATCAGCATTCCAGCTCCCTTGGCATTTCTGCTCCTTTGAGGATCAGGGGCTTTTCCTTTTGACTCCAGAGCACCACAAACTGCACTAACCTTGGACTAGCTTTAAACAAACAAACAAACAAACAAACAAGCAAAAATATATGCCAGAGAAGGATATTGCACCGTAGAAATTTGGGCTCTAAAACTGCTTTCCATCACACAAAACTCCACTAAGTGAGAGAGAGTCTTGCCAACTGCAGCTGACAGTCACGCAAAGTTGAGAAACGGAATGAAGCTCACATGCATTTCTTGGCCTTTCCTGCACAGAATAATTCAGACATAATATATAAATAGAGCAGTGAAACAATTACTTTTTCACCTAGACCTACAACATCAAATACGTATAAATAAATTCTAGTGTTTTATTCTGTTGGGGGAAGGAATGGAGGGATTAAAAGAGAAAGAAGGGTGACCTTTTTCAACAGGAAATTTTGTAGTTCTGATGGCATTTACACCAGAGGGACTGCAGTAACTTGGATCTCGCAATAACCCAGTTTCTCCAACACGTTTGACCATTTTGAAGTCACACAGGTGGGAGGAAGGAGGTTAGTGTCTTTGTAAAGCTGAAGTAGTGTGTCTAGAGTAGGGAAGAGATGAGAAGAGGGGGCCTCAGGTAAGTCTCTTTAGCCATTAGTTAGATTCTGGGCTCATATTAGCTAGGGCCAGCTGGGCAGAAGGATAATAAAAAAAATCCCGAACAGACAATTCTGCTGTTAATGGTATTTCAAGGGAGAAAATAGAAACAGGGTGGGATGACTTACTGGAGGTGCAATCTTTGGAAAACACTGGGAGCAGGACTAGCAGATGAGGATGCAGATCTGGGAGATGTCTGAAAGTTGGGGAAATATTTGTCACTAAATCTCAAACTCTGTACTTTAAGGAGGATGCTAGAGAGATGCTGGCACACTCTGCTCTGAAATTAAAATCCATAAAACCTAAGAAAAAAAGAGCTCATATTTTTTCTTAAAGTACCATCCTATCCCTTTCCCTTCGGGTTCTCTGCCATGATCCATGGGGACACCTGTGGAGAGGGGACATTACTATGCCTAAGCTAGTTTAGGTCTCTAAGCTCTTTAAAGCTACTGTATAAAAATCATATTTATGCCTAGCTTAAAACTTCAAATGCATCCTTACAAAGTTACAAAGGATCTTTTTCCAGAAAAGGGAGAGGGGGGAAAAAAAAAGAAGCAAACGAAGAAACAAGAACACCTTTCAGATCCCTTCCCCAATACATTCTTTGTTCAAAATATCTTCTTTGGAACCACCACCAAATGACTTTCTGCCACCCAGCAGAGGCCGATGCACAGCCCATGAGCAAGCTACCATCTCCAAAAATGGTTCTGTCCCTCACTTCAGAGTGACCAGCCTACTTTACATTTTGAAAGAGCTAAACAACACAAACCAAGTTAGCTGAAAGTAGTTTTAACTTTTGACTACCATCAGGTGAAGGACTCCAAGCCCTTTCAGGAACTTTTAAGTCCGTCCTAAAAAATCTACGTACACACGCGCACACACACACACGCACACAAACCAAAACCAAACAGCCAAAGAAATAAAACCCAACCTCTCCCACTGGGATCTTCCTTGTGTAGATCATCAAATACTGGAGAGGAGTGGTGAGGTGACGATGCTGTACACACACTATATGCAACTGCATCAGAGTAAAGAACCCTTTGCTGTTCACCTGGGGAAGGAGAGGAGAAGGATGATTCCAAACTGCCTCTGTAACCACGCGCTTCCAACCCAAAACAGGAGGTTCCAAGTGTGCCTTGCAGAGGGGCTCCCTTACCAACGCATTTCTATGCAAATTTTACAAAAGGCCTTGGACTAGAGGAACAGAAAGCAAGACTCAGGGAAAAGAGCAAAGCTTAGGAGAGCAGCCCCGAGGGATGAACACAATATAGGACAAGTCTCAGGAGACACGAAGAATTTCAGCAGCCAAGGCAGGGAGCATGAGAGAGCATCACAACTACAAAAAGTAGTCCATACAGACCCGTTGGCTCTAGAGCCAACTCTTCTGACCCATGTGCTGTGAGGAGAATTTTTTTCTTCCTAACAAATGTTACATTTTGTAAATCTATGATTTACATTTTGGTGTGTGTTTTTCAGTCACTAAAAAAATTCTAAACCCACAAAAAGGAAAAATTAAACACCTAGATCTGTATGAGCTTACAACAGAAATCTGGTGGTTTAGGTTTTTTTCCTTAAAATGAAAATGCCTAAAATTTTGTTGTGCACAAAGCACCCCAAGGCTGTGTTGAAGTGGTGCAAGTTTCAGGATTTATACACTGATGTACACATTTCCTCCTAATGCAAGCACTGCTTCTAGTTTAAAACAAAAATACTGAAAAAGTAACAGATGTCATAACTGTCCTGTATTTTTTAATCAAATAGTCTGAAAGACTAAATTATCTGGGGAAATACACCCAAACAAACTTGAACTCTCAACATAGCACAGAACCATATACAAAACTAAGTGGAGTTTTGTCAGAACATCATTTTAGCTGAAAGGAATTCTTTTCTGAAAGGAATGAGGAAAGCAGAAAGAAGGGGGGAATGAGAGAACATATAAAAGTTCTGCTATAAACAAAGATACAGCTTTTTTGTAAAAACCTCAGCTGCCTTTAAAATGAAAAACCTCAAACTAAACCCCTCTCCCCCAGTTGCCACTCTGCTGAGACAGAAGTAGGGAAGGAGAAGGACGGGCTTTGCCAAGTGAGTGATCACAGCTACCTGTGGATGGGGCATGGGGAAGGGGGAAATTAAAAAAAAAATAAATGGCTAAAGCCACTTAAAAGTCACATGATCGGTTTGTTTTAAAGCAAGCAGGTCAATGTATATCCACTGTTTCAAACTGCTTTGTTGGGAGAGGGGCTTGAATGATGTCGCTGTAGTCAGTCAGTGTGGGGTGGGGATAGATCTGGTGAGATTTTCAGGAGATCCAGTGGGGTCCAGTCTAAGCTGTGGTGCCTCTCAGGCAGCAGGACCAGCTGGGCATCAGAGGTGCTCCTAGGCCTTGCTTTCCTCCACTTTGACTGCCTGAGGTTTGATCGCTCCTGTGCGCACTGGCTTCATCTGGTTTGTGGAGGCTGTTTCTTGCAGCTTCACTGCTCCCAGACTGGCTTTGTTATCATCCACCCGCTGCTTTGCCTTTTGACACAAAAACCAAAGCATTAGCCAGGACAGACACCTCAAGGCAGGCAGAACAAGCAAACTGTGACCAGCATTCACTCAAGACATCAAATTTGCTCCTGTAACACCCCACATTTAAGAATCTCAGTGTCTCACATATTTGGCAATGCAACTTATAAAAATTTCACAGTAGAACTTAGCAGAACTAATCTCTCCTGACTTTCAAATCACACAGAATTACTCCTGAACAGTAAGTAAAACACCTAGCTACCCAAGGAGCTTCAGTTACACAGACCTGCCTTTCCTCTGCAGCCCAAGGTATAAGCACAACAGTGTAGAAGGGCCAATAGTTTTGGGCTGTACAAAGAACTCGGGTACACTACCTGTTGTACGTAGTGTCCTTGCACAGAGCCCATGCTCACTGCTGGTCCCGACGGCTTCCCGCTGGGGCTGGCAGAGCTAGGCCTGGAAATCGAAGAGTCGACAACATTCATGGAGTAAATTCTACAATGGAATGAGAGCCTTATTCATGTGTGAAAGAAAAAAAAGACAGCAAAGCAGCAATAGACAAGGCACAAGTCTGTGCTGTGCAGATCAGTGAGCTCCACAGTCCGAATGACAACACAAGGCTCGGTTAGGAGAAAAAAAATAAATTAGTGTCTCAAAAGCCTCAAGGATCTGATGTGCCTAGACATGAGCACTCCATCTTCAGGACCATGAACATTTATTCAGTGATGCTCAGATTTCACACCTTCACAAGGAACAAAAGCACACACCAATTCCAACCTGTCTCTGAGACTCAGTGAACAAGTAACTTCATGCACTTCTCACAAAGCACCAGGTTGGATACACACACACTGGGGCCCACACCCAAAATGAAAGCCATGACCATGCACTTAGATATGAGTATTTGGAGTGAAGTGAGCACGTTCTAGACATGAAAACCCAGGTGATCTTGTACAGGGATGATGGGTGCACCATGTTTTTCTCCCATCCTAAGGAGCACAAGTTCTGTGAACGTCTCACCTGTACGTGTGTGGGGACGGTACAGACCCTCCGGAGGACATGCTCTGTTTACCATCGGAGAAATGAAACCCTTTCATTTCCATCTGGGAGGACTACAGAGGAAAACGAGTGAGAGAGAGTATCATCTTCGCATTCACAAATCACTCTTTACTTCATATAAACACTTAAGCCAAATCTTTGCCCTTCTCCCCATTTTGCCCATTAAAAGAAAAAATATTTTTCAGGTGAAGAAAGTGAGGCTTGTAAGTGAAATAATCTGTTTGTATTAAAGTACCAAGCCAGCAGCACAAGCAAATACAGAACCTGGAAGTTAACTGCTGTGCTCTCTCTCCCCTATAGTAAGACAAACTTATGATATGAATCCATCAAACCAGACATGACATTAATATACCTACTCAAATGGACAAGCTTCACAACAGAGTGAAATATCTGGGCAGTATTCCAACTGTGTCTGGAGCTCACCACCCCTCAAGCACTCTGGGGAAACCTGTGTAAACATGTAATAAAACTGGAGACTCCAAACTGGATCAAGGCAGGATGTGGCTCCCTGGAAACAGAATGATGACCAGCAGCAAAACCTGAAAACTGCTGGCTTGCACTTTGGAGATGAGGGGAAAAGGGTTCCTTCATTTTAACAGCAATCCTTGGCTTGGATATTTAAGGATCCCAAACAAGCCATTCTCCCGTTTGACAAGCAAGGAGTAAAACTTCAACGCAGGAGGGGTTACTGAATGCCATGAGCAGCACCAGGAGTTAATCCTTACCTCCCTGCTGGCAGCAAGAACAGAAGGCTGGGATCCAGGAGGGAGGATTCTTCGGGGAGCTCCTACAGGCAGGTTTTGGCCCTGAGGAAGCTGGATGGACTGTGGCAGAAGCAGGGGCTGCTGGCCAGAGCCGTAGCGGGGCAGAGGCAGCTGGGAGCCAGGCACAGGCATTGTCAGCTGTGTGACAAGGACATGTAGTTACCTTAATGGCAGTAAGACTCTCGTGTTTGACATGCTGCCTCCCAATACCCTGAAAGCACGGCCGTGCCAAAAGGAAGCTCCCAAACAGTGCAGTCTGGCACGGAATAAACACAAATGACTGTAGCAGAGGGACTTTCACACTGAAATGGATGTTCTGGCAGTGCTGCCAACACCCTTACCATTTGGGTTTTTAACATGCCATCAAGTTAACCTAACTGCCCGTGGATAGGGGGGCTTTCCTCCATTTCTAGAGCCCAGTTTCCCAGTCTTCCTCTTGGTCACTTCATGGGTCAGTTTTCCCTTCATACAATGGCAGTGTCAGGTGCTTTGTTCTCACCTTTGAAAATCTCCTGCACTCTTACACCAAAACATTTTGAGGACTGGACCTCCAGAGAAATCAATGGGGACGTCAGCCCCATGTTTCACAGTGAGTTGCAAACCAATGATGGACATAATTAAGAGCAATTACAAAAAATATTGTAGCTCTCAGGGGCTGAGGCACCTCCTGTTCCCTCTGATTTTCTCACAATTGCTGGATTTGGGAGGTTCCACAGCACTTTAGAATACATAAATAAACCAATCTAAGGCTGGCAAAAGAAACCAAGTTACTCGCTTATGATGGATAAAGCATTTCTTCAAATATTTACTTTGCCAGTGGTTCTCTGTATTTTCCTCACCTAAGTTACTTTCAGGATTAACTCTTTACGTCAGTCACAACATAAAAATCCCTCTGAAACAAAAAATAAACCTTAACAAGTTGCACAAGATAAATGTAAGATGAGTTTAATAAAATTATAAAATTTCTCCAGAAAATCAGAGCACATGCCCACAAACACAGCTATGCTCACAGTAGAATCCAATGTTTTTATGTGAACCATGCTTTATTAAAACATTTTCACACATTGAAATTCCTGTTAGGATTCTGCCAAACAGATCAGCTGAAGTTGTAAATAAGACTTGGACGACAAATGAACTGAGAAGACGGATGAGCCTTTAATACAAGTTCCTAGTTGCCCTGGAAGCTGAGGTGATGGGAGAGATGATTGGGATTTGGCTCTCAGAAGAGGTGCTTTTAGGACAACCATTGCATCATGGCCTCCTATGCATGCAGCACTGGAAGGTTTGACTTCCAAGTGACAAAATGACATCTCAGCAGGGACAGACAAGGTATTAGCAACCATCTCATCAAATAAGGTGCTGCATATGTGAAACCATGGTTCACAGAACAGTGTCTCGGGGAAATCTTCCGCCTCTTTACAAAGAGGTTAGTTCAGACAGACATGTTACAACCCATTCTCAGAAACAAGTGGCTGTGAATTAGCCTGGACCAAAGGAGTGGCTCGCCAGTCCTGCTCCTAACCTGTGTGAGCTGAGAGTCCATCATCTGGGAGGCTCCCATACCAGCCTGGTTTATCTGCCCCTCATAAACCAGTGCCTGGCTGCCGTTCATGGGCTGATAGGGGGACCCAGACTGGGTTTTCACCACCTCCAAGGGCTGCATGCCTGGGAAGGCGGAATATGGAGGCTTCAGAGCAGTGCCTCCTGTCAGGACCATGGTGCTGGGCTGGGACAGACTGGGGTGCATGTACACCTGAGACCTGCAGGAATAAAAATATGCTTCAGTCATTATGCACAAAACCTTTGGAGACTGCACAAACACACCCTGCCAAACTGTATCTGGCCTGCCATCAGTTCTCAGACAGCTAAACTGACAGCCTGGAAACAAGCTGTGATACCACTTTCCATTTTAGTTACCAGGATTTTTTACTTCCACTCTTAAGCTTTTACAAACACATCCCTGTGTTGCCAGAATATTCAACAACACTGTGTAGTATCTAACATTTATGTTTCAATATCCCAATACAACAACCTGTCGATTAGCAGTTAAGGGAGGATGCAAGTTACCTAAAGTCTGCAGCAGTTTTGCAAAGCAGGAAAAAAAATCAGAAGTTAAAGATTCCAACAGCTCTGGCAAATAAAAAGGGGTTTTTCTTTAAATCTCAGTGTTCAGGCTTTAGAGGCACCAAGCACTAATTCAGATTTTTCACTCTCATGCTCCCTACACTGGCACTGTTATTAGGGGAAGGAAACAGCATTTGAACAAAGGGGAAAGGGAAGATGGGTGTGGGGTACCTGATCTATGTACACAAACATCAGGAACGTAAGAGAGCAAGCCACAAGGACAGGAAAACAGGAAGCAGTTACCTGAAGGGCTGTATGGAGCTGTACATCTCCTGGGACTGGGAAACAGGCAGACCACCCCTCAGTCCAAGCTGAGCTTGGGCCTGTAAGGATGTGTGGAGGGAGATGGGAATCTGTTGAGCAGCAGCAGCCTGCAGAAGAAATTAATATTACTGAGAGGTACAAGAGGAGCCAGGAACTCTCTAAGGCTGTTAAAAACCCATCAGTTTCCTGCATGAGTCAATCTGCAGTGATAATTACCTACACTGGGCCTTTACCCAGCCCTGCATCATTCCCCAGAATAGCAGCACTGCCAGAGAAGACACTGCACAGGCACCCAGAGGTTGATGCCTGCAAGAGGCATTTGATGGACATGAGGGAACCAACACGCTCCTCACCAGAGCAGGTAGTGACAATCCCAGCTCTCACCTGCCTCTACTCTACCTGGAAAGAGCTCCCTCAGCTCTGTCAACATCCTATTTACTAGTTAAGTTCATTATTACTGACTGGCTGGGGAATTTACTGAGAGTCACTTCATCCCACACAGGTCTCAGCATCTGCTTTAGTTAAAACCAGTCCGAGGGCACTGGTACAGGAGGGGAAGAACTCCTCAATTCCCTCCCTTCAGTTTCACTAAACTATGACACCCACTGGGGAGTAGCATTGAAGGAACCTAATGGGAGCCATATCCAAGCTCCTTTGGGCTATGAAAGTGAAACATTACTCCTCATTTCTTAAATGCCACCGTGAAGAATCCTTGAAATACCACTTGCAAGCTGTACTGCTCCCTTACCTGTTGGTAGCTTTGCTGCTGAGGTATTGTCTGAGGGACCAGGCGGGGCTGACTTGCAAACACGTGGCCATCCAAATACAAGGGTGGAATATGGTTACCTGGACATCAGAAAAGGCAGGCTGTAAATTCAAGGTACAGGGGAGATCCAGGCATAGTAGACTGCAGAGATCTGCAGGTCAAGACTATTTCCTACCTCTGAGCAAGTTAACACAAACATAGTACCCATTCAGAAGAGTCTGTAAATCTCCTAAATCCACATACCAACATCAGCAGTAGCAGGATTGCTGAGAATGAATCATACCTTTCTATAAGAGGCTAAATGTAAACCCAGGTTTCCCACCTCCACAAGAGTCAGACACTAGCAGTTCAGAAGTTGGTAACCTGTACTCTGAACTAAATGCCGGAAATCTGCTCTGCAATCATCTCATCTTTGCAGCTAAGAGGGACAGAAAGAGCAAACAAGGCGTTTAAGGCCTTGACACATGAGATCTAGAAGCCATATTCACCCCAAGGGTGGCACCAATTACTGACTGCTGTGCCACTCCTGTGCCTTTGTGCAGATCTGAAACCACAGGATTAAGCAGCAAGATTAGGGAGAGTGAGGAAGGAGATCACCTGACTTGGAACAATCCGTTTACCAAGTGGAAGCTAATAACAGAGTCACTGCACATTTCACTCTGCTCTTGAACTGAGACATAAGAAAAACAGCGCACACCTGAGAAGCTCTCTGGGACCCAGGAGTCATCCCATGGAGAGAATCCCAGTACATTTCCTCTTTCCAGATGCTCTCCCTAATTACACACACTAACATGACTGAGTTAAGCTTTTCCTTTAACTAAAATACAGCAACACCTTCCCCCTTCCCAGAGTTCTGCGAGCTATAAGCCAGTGTTTGTTTTGCTATAAGCAAAAGGTGCCCAGAACCTGTGACTTCAATGGCAAAACAACCAGAGGAATGGCTGATAATGACATTGAGACTTCTGAAGCCCCACAGCCCTCTTTTTTTCTATTCTACTGGGCACACAGTAAAGGGTAAGCAAGATCTACTGAGATAGCAGAGACTTGCCACTACACAAGGGAAAGCTGTATCAAGCTTTCACCAGTCACATTCTTCAAAGTGGGGAACAGTCCCTCTTCCTGTCTTGCCTGAGTTACAAATCTGTCAAACACCAGCCAGCCAGTTACTCTACATAGAAGCTCTTCTCACCATGCTCTCATCTACTAGAACCAGAGGATGACTCCCAGATAACAATCAGACAATGCAAATGCTGCTGCAGTTTTCAGGTACCTGGAATAGATGCAGAAGGTGCTACAGACGCCACAGGCATAGGAGGCATAGAAACTCCACCAAAAGAGCTGTAGCTGACACCGTTGGAAGCTCCAACACTGGAAGGAGGCTGGATGCCTGAGCCTGCACCTCCTGGGGAATTCTGTTCTGGTAAACTTGGAGAGTTTTCCCAAGCTTTACGAGCAGACTCCATCTATGGAAACAAAGAAAAAATAACTACAGACAGTTCAAATGGGGAGGGCATTACCAAAGCCTACAGCTGCTCATCTGTGTCCTGTGAGCTCAAATTCACTGCACTCTAGGCATAGGGGAAAGCTGACAGGTCTGAGGTCAGGGAGCTCTACAACAGTTTCTAATGGACAAGAATCCTTCACGAATACTCAAACCCCTCGGTATTTTCTGAGCTTCTTGGGTTTGGGGTGGAGGTGATTTTTGTTTCGGTTGCTGTTCTTGTTTGTACACTTGAGTTTTGTTTGGTTTTTCCCTCTCTTTACACCACCAGGCTTCCCGGGATCCCTGAGCAGCCACCTTACCCAGTACTGAAACAGGAAAGCTCTGTTGCACAAGTTCTACAATTGGCAAGGACTTCTTGCATTCAGGAAACACACACCCCTGCACTCATGTTGAACAGTATATATGCACAACTTTTACAAAATCTAATTGAAATTTTGCAATACCTAGCAAAATACTCTGGGAAAGATCTCCCCACCCTCACTGTTCTGCTCACAGAGACATGGTATCCACACACCTTCAGCTTCCTTACCTTAAGAGTAAGGTCTGCAGTGGGGAAGGACATGGGGTTCAAGCCAATGCAGCGCTGGAGGTGATGATCCCTTCGCAGGATGGGAATGGACTGTGTTAACCCTGCCTGAAGAGAGAGTCATAAAAGGTATTTGTGAACTCTCAGGAGTGTGTTAAGAGTCACCAAGGCTGACAGAGGGTTCAGCTGGGCAGCTCCAGTAACTTCATGTCAAAGAATGCAGTCCTCAGTGGTACTGCAAGAACCAAGTACCACGTTCAACTGGGATCCATTCTCCTCTTGCAATAAAGGAAGCTTTGGTTATGTGCAAAGACACCCCTCTATGCTGAACGACACCAGCTTCCACTTAAACATCAGTTTGATCCAGTAACTTCCATTTGCAGAAGGGTTCTCCTTCCTGTCCCGTATTTAGAAACTACCTAAGTTTCTGACAAAACTTGTTTCTGAAAAGAAACACTCTTTAAAACAAATCTCCAAAATCAAAACCAAACAGCCTACAAACTTGAAGACATTTCAAAAGCAGCTTTGTTTGTGTCCCACTGTCTGTTGCTACCAGCTGGGCTTTCAGTGTGCTCACTCTTTCACACAGAATAATGAAATACCCAGATGGCTGGAATAAGCTGGGAAACCTCCAAGAAGGCCTGACCACCAAGTTACAGTTCTCTGCCTTGCTATAGCAGATGAAACCTCCTGAGGAAGCTGGGCAGTCTGGGTCTAAACATGTCACTACCTGCATCATGGCCATGTCCAATACTTGTGTGTCTCAGGGGAAGGGACTGGTCATCTCAGAGATGGCTTTACACAGGTCACAATGATAATGAAGTTGCTCTCTACATTACTTCTGAGTTTGTGACACTCATTTTACCAAGTCATCTTGAGATTTCCATTTTGGATTTCAGTGATATGTGCTGTCTAAGCATGAAATATGAAGTCAGATGCAAACATGCTTGGTCTCTTTGGAAGGATCTGAGGTTTACCTAAGGATTATCTCCAACGAATCAATTAAAAAAAAATAAACTTACATTACTGGCCAAGGCATCCTGCAATTTGGTGACAGGGTTAGCTGCAGTGCCAGAGGCAGAACCAGGTGGCAAGCTGAAGTCAGAGTCCTGAAAAAGCAAAGCACACTAAATTCAAATCCAGGTCCATGGGCTACCCCTCTGCATTTCATGGCTAATGACTCTAAGCCTGAATTATGACACTACAAACTAAAGACTGATCTCCAGTAAGCCTTGCTGGAAACAGAAAAAAATTCTCAGCACTCAGCAGCAGGCAACCCCCACAGGCACACAAAAGCTTGGCTGTGATTTTGTCCTTAACCTCTGTTACCACCCCAGCTGGTCCTTGGGACAGTATTTCCAAGTGGATACTACTGTTTGCCAGGACATCCCGAGTACCTGGTCTGTGTCAGAAATCTAAGGCAAACCTACAGCTGGAAGCTTCCTCTAAATAATCCTTCTGCCTCAAACCACCTTTCACATCTCAACAAGATCAAATCACCAAGAAGATAAAATGAAATTCAATCCTCACTTTAGGATTTACTCCAAATTCAATGGGTGGCACAGGAAGTACAGAATCCACGTGAATTTCCACCCCATTAACAGGGGGAATATTCCCTTCCAGCCGTTCCGTTCCCTCCGAACCCTTTCTGTTTTTCAGGGAGCGTTCGTTGCCGATTGGTCCAGGCTTGTGTTCCTTGTTCTGTCCTGAGCCTTGATCTGAATCCTTAACAGGAAAGCAGAGAGGCTGAGACACAAAGACCGAATAACCCAACCTCAAACCTTAAAAACCACTGTCAACAACAACACCACAACCACTTCACAAGATCTCTCACTCTGCGCTCTGGCTTGGCTGAGAATCCAGATTACCTTTTTATCAGTTTGCTTCTGCACTTGCTCCTTCTGGCAGTCAGGCTTTGGGTCCACCAGGGCAGCCCCATTCATCTCCTCTGGTTTGAGGGTGCCATACGGAGAACTGCGCTGAGAGGAGGTGGCGGAGGATTCCCGAGACTCTGCGCTCAAGTCAATGCCACTATCCCCCTGGCTGCCTTTAAATCCCTGCTATGCAAAGCACGAAATGTGTTAAAGCCCCGGACTCCGACCCAGCGTCACTGAGGAAAAAACATCCCAGGAAACAGCAAGATCATGTGCCTTTTTCAAATCACCATCCTGGTTAAGTGCAAAGGAGTTGGGCCTGACCTGCAGCACCCCTTGGCTGCTCCTTCAGCTCTACACAGCCCTGAGAAAGGTGAACTGATGCACCAAACACACCACGGCTTCAGAGTAAGGAAATGTGTCCCACAGAACAACTAGGCTGAGATTGCCAAACTCACTTCATATGCGATCCAAACCAAATTTCAACTCTTGGTCTCTGGAGATGAAGCATACAGGAACTCCTCTGCCCTCCCTGCATCAAGGCTACAGCTACACACTGTTCACAGGCACAAAGCACAAACAGGACCTATGGGATTCCACCCTCCTCATTCGCAGTCTGTACCCAGTGATGAGGATAACCCTGGAGTAGCTCTATCATGCAGTTACTCCAGATTTATACCCACACACAACACCAAGCAGTGCTTGGCTCTCTAGGTCAAGATTGGAACAGCATCAAGCTCAAATTAAAACTGCAATGAGACAGTTTAAAATGGTACAAGCAGAGCCGAGAGTCACTAAGCACAGATGGAGCAATGAGAAGCATAAAAGCCACCTGCATTAATACTTCATACACACAATACTTGAAGGGCACCTTAGGTGCCACTTACCTCGGTGCTAGACTCAGTACCATTAAAGGTATTTACAGGCTTGCTCCAGGAATCACTGCCAGGAGACTGAACGGAAAGTGCTGGAAGAGAACGGAGGGCAGGGTTCAGCTGCTTGAAACACAGCTATGAGCACACCCTGTACACATTACACCATCAACTTTCCATTTCTAGACATGAGAAAGGGTATTTTCACCACCTCAGAAAGTTAAGTGTTTCCCAGACATCCGAGACATGATGCAGCAGAGAACACAGGGTATGAGGAATGAGTAGAGAACAGGGTGAGATTTCTTAGGGAACATAACAACAGAAGAAAAGTCAGAGAAAAACAAGGGAGGCACTAGCTCTTCAGGGTTAGAGATGAGAAAACGTAGGAAAGCAAAATAAGAAAAAGTCTCAAGCAGATCCAGCTCAACCAGCTATAAAACGCCGTATTGTAGGATCTTAATGTGAAACAAAGACCCAAGAAATAGATTAGGAGATTGACATGGCCAGCAACAGGAGCAGGATGACAGTGGATATCAGAACAGAGGCTACTCCACACGTCTGCCAGCTCCCCTCCCACTCCCAGCATCAGACAGGAGGGGGTTGTCTCCTCTGAACCATGGACCCCATTCTTGCTGCACACCCCTGAGGACTCCAGCTCTGTGAAACCCTTTGGAACAAACAGACCCAAGCCTACCTGGGCTGTTGCTCTCCCAGATCTCTGTGCCCAGGCTGTTTCCAGACACTGTTACATCACTCTGCTCCAAGCACAGGCTGTTCTGCTTCTTAGCAAATCGTGGCGGAATGCGCGACTGCAGGACGCGGGCCTTGGCTGGTGCCTGTGACAGGAAAGGCACAGGTGTCAGACTGGGAGGTTCCCCCAGTCTAACAAGACTGAAAGAGATGCCTTCTGCAGTGTGAGATCTTCTTCTGGCAACAACACAGAGTGCAAAGTCCTTCAATGCTCCTGCTGCCCAATATCCCACCAACTACAGACAGCAGCTGGCTTAGAGAGCCAAGCTGCTTTGGATGAAGACCACTCTAGAAACTTAACTCCCAATTAACAATTCTGCTGCAAGCCAAGAATAATCAGAAATCAAACTCCCCTTTTCAGACCAGCAACCCTAAATATGTTTCTGGGGCCCAATGCAGGATCTGTACTACTTTGGCTACTACTTTGTACTACTATTGTCAACTGTGTGTTTTTCTGTTCATACAAACACCTTCTGGGGCCTTGTTTCTCTGACTGCAATCTAAACCATGTAAAAGGTCTAACTTTTCTGCCTCCCATTCCTCACCTGAGCAGCCTGCTCCTTCTTCCTTCGCTCCTCTTCCAGCAAACGACGCTGCTTTTTAGTAAGAACCTCAATGAATCCTTCCCCTGCCATGGAACCAACTTCATTCTCTTCTGCTGTGTTTGACACCCGATTATCAATGATGGTATCTGAACAAAGCACACAGGGGAGAGTAGAGTGCACATGTGTGGGCATATAAAGCTTTATAATTGCAATAATTTAAACAGTGTGCTCCATGCCACAGTAAGTTCACCTAGCAACATCGCAGCTACATGAAAACAAAATCAGACAGTCTGCTGACATCTACCAGACACTTCATCTTGCAGGACTTTGCTGTCTCCTCTGTTTCAAGACGAGTACATTTCAGCTTGAAACTTGGGAATGGGAGCTGTGTGATAACTCAGGTAATTCTCTTTTCAGAGATACTCATTTCTTGCCTCCCTGTCATTAGCTCAGTCTCTAATTCCTCACTCTGGATGCCCTCCCAACTTCCTTCACACAATATAAATTTCAAGCCTAAAAATACATTAGCATCTTAGAGAGAAATACAGAAATATTCTCCCTAAACACAAACTTTCTTTAGAAGAAACATTAAAGACACTGCCAGATCTGACTGAAAAGCTTGTGTCTTAAAATTTACCAACAATTTTACCTTCCATGTTTTTCTACTTAGATACACAAGGATTTTCTTGTTTCTGTAAATAAACAGAAAAAAGCCCCTACCCTGATATTACAAATTGGACTGAATCAGTCTGTCTTGAAGTCAGCCATAGTATGTTATCCTCTTAAAGAAACAAATGAATCACGATACTCACTTCCATAACTCAGTTCGAACTGTGACAAGGCCTCTCCCTTCTCACTTGTTCTTTGTGCAGTGGATTTGTGCTCCTTCTCTGGCTTTTTACCTGGCCCCTCTGCACTCTCTGAGTTCACGTGGGAGGCCCTATCCAAGCTATAAATGGAGTGGCTGCTCCCACCACTGGTGTTGCCAAGGCCTCCTCCTTCTTCTGGAGACCTACACAGAAAGAAGGGAAAGGATTTAGTTTTGTCACTAGAACACGAATAAAAGTGACAAGAAAATGCATGGGATGTATATCCTCTCCTTCAACATCTACAGATACCAAGATAAGAAAACAACGTTACCTTTTGCTCTTTATCAGGGTCCCGTTCTGCTGGCTCTCGTATCTGGAAGCTGCTCCCACACCAGTCCTGACAGACTGCTCTGCAAACCCTGCTGGCTCAGCCTTGCGGCTCTGCCTGTCCACCAGCGGCCTCTGGCTGGAGAAGCTCCTCTTTGCCAGCTCCCTCTTCTCTCCCAAGCTCCCAGTGCTGAGGCCACCTTCCAGCTGGCCCTCACTCTCTGCAACTCCATCTCTTCTGTCCCGCCGCTCGCTGAAGTCGCTGCTCTCAGATGCTGTCTCCCACTCCTCATTGGCATGGTCTGAAGAGTTCTGGTAGGAGAGCTCAGGAGAGCGTCTGCCCGAGATGCTGCTCTTCTCTGCACTGCTCAGCTTGGGTCTGCCTGGCCACTGGCTGGGCAGCAGATTAGGGCCGCCCTCCTCGGGGTTCCACTGCCCGACCGATTCCCTCTCCTGCCTGAGGCGCCTGAACCGTGGGGGCTTGTCCTGGCGGGGAGGACGCCGCCTCCTGAAGGGCCTGTTCTCGATGTTCTCCTGATCTGCTGAGTAATCCTCCTGGAAAAAGTGCCTTTTGTCATCCAGATGACTCTCATCAAAAACCCGGCTGGAGAAGGAATCCGTGTGTTTGTAAGAATCCTGAATGTAGTCCCTGTCAGATTGCTGCCTGCTCCCAAAAGCGTCTGATGGAGACGTGTGGCTGTAGTCCTGCCACCCTCCTCCCCCACTCCTGCCTTGCCACTGCGTGGGCTCCTTACCCATGAACCCCCTTCGCCCATAGCCAGAGTTGCTCAGTCTTGGTGGCAGTGATCTCCCAAAGGCTCTTGGAGCCCTCATCTTAGGATCCAGGCTATTGTGATCATCTGAATAGATTTTGTTGGACCTCCAAGACTCTTTGAAGTCTCCCTTTTTCAAATCACTGTCCTCCCTGTCCAGCACAGAGCCTTCATTGCTGTTCTCCGAGCCCCTCTGCCGGCGCCGCTTGGGGAGCTCCTCGTACTCTGACCCTTCACTGTGGGTCTCGCTGGCAATCCTGCGCCTGGGTTTGCCTCTGGGGAAATCCTCTGGCTGGTTGAACTCCCGGAGCCCTCTGCCCCGGCTGCTCCTCTGGTTGTTGTTGTAGACCCCCCTGCTGCTCACAACTGTGCCTCGCCCTCTGAAAGTGAACTCTCTGAAGCCTCTCCCTCGCCCACGCCCTTGACCTCTCCCACCAAAGGCTTGCTCCTCATCAATGAAGATCCAGTTGTTTCTTTTTGTGGGAGGAAGATCGCTGCTCTCTCTGGATAGTTTGTTCTCCCAGGTTCTTTCTGGCTTCTCTTCTTCCTCCTCCTCCTCTTCTTCTTCTTGGGATTTCTCAGCCTCTCGTGCAAGGCTGGTTTGGGAAGAACCTTTGTCATCCAGCAGGTAACGCGTGGAGTTCAGCAAGGCAGCAGAGTCATCTGACTCATTTTCTACCTTCTGAGCAGCTGCTTTCTCCTTCAGCGGGCGTGAGCTGTCCTCTCCCTCCAGTTTAACCTTCTCCATCTCCTTCTCCTTCTCTTCCACCTTGAGGGCTTTCAGGACTGGCTTTTTAATGGGGCCTGACCGCCGTGTCCTCCCCATGTGCTCCTGGTGCTGCCCGCTGGTGCTGCGGCTCTCGGGAGCCCACTCTGGTGTCTCCTCAGTGGCCGGTTTGGTACTGGCTCCTTCTTTCTTCCATGGGTCAGCACTGAATGACTGCTCATCCCGGGGTACTTCTTCAGCAGCTTCTGCTGCTGTTTCTGCAGGTTTCTGATGGTGGCTGATATCCCAACCATTATATTCAGGCTTCTTCTCTGCTTGGATAAAATCAGGCTCGAGGGGTGAACACCTCAGGTTAGCATGGCGGCTGCCAGCAGGACAGGCTTCCTGCACACTCTCCTGATGCTGGAACAAGAGATTTTGGCCTATCCTCTGAGAGGACAGGCAGCTGTCAAATTCTGCTTGGGCCTTCTTGTCAAAAGCATTCAAATATTCCTCCCCTCTCTCCTCAAAGAGATCTCTCTCTGGCCTTCCAGAAGCAGAGTAACTTTCATTCCTGAGAACGAAACAAACAACAAACAAAGTGAAGTCAGGTAATGCAGAGCACAGCACATCTCCAAGGGCCCAGACTGGATAGAAGAGGTGAAAAGAAATAAACTGAGGTTTATGCTAAATCATGAGGCAATAAACACCAAAATGCTGGGCAGAGCTGCTGTGGCCTCAAGCTGTACCGCCTGATTTGTGAAATCAAATGCACGATAAAGAAAACAGCTCCTATGATGGGCAGCAAACGTAAGAAACGAAGGGAGATTTAACCTCCTATGATGTGGAGAGCTGAAAACAAAGAATTGGTTTTAGAATGTCTAAAAAAAGTAGGAGACAAACTAGCAAGCATCAGACTCCCCCTCTCTCTCCAAACAGGCTCCAAGCTGGTCAGATAGAAAACTTCTGAATAGTTCAGTCTGTAAACACCTCCACAGCTAAAACACTCAGGAGTGTAAGGGTGCTCCCAGATCAGTACCTGGGCCTGTTCACAGACATCTTTCAGGCCAGTTCTACACCTGCTTTTCAGCAGAGGCATACAGCAGCACTTCCCATCCCAGCACGCATGAGCACAGGGGAATTCTGTACTCACCTGGCATGCAGCCCATCCATGCTCATGTTGTCAGCCTGTTTTTGATGTGACAGGGAGTATCCTTTGCTCTGCAGGGATGTGTAGCTGTCCTGGCCCCACACTGGCACAGGATCCAAGGGAGCAGTTTTCCTCTCTGCCTGCCCTGCCTGACAGTTCTGATCTTCAGACCGACAGCTGCTCCCACCGATGGAGTCCTGCTGAATCATGGGCTTCATAATTCCTGCTCACAACAGAGTTCATGCCATTAGCACTAGGATTTCACAGACAAGAAGAATTTAACAATCTCCTAGCTTGACTCCCCCCCTTCCTTCTTGGGCAGCAGGCAACTGCAGCCATGGAAACCTGCCTTGTGAAAGGGAGTCGGTGCTTAAAAAATGCCCAGCTGGGAAATACACCTGGAGTGATACAAAAGCTGATACAGCTCTCAGAGCCCAGCCCACACAGACACTGCACAGCATCACTGGCTTGGGATCAAGCAATCCACAAACTCCAGGAAATGATTTATACATCCTAATGTTTACATTCATACCTTTGAAGATTAGTAACAAGATAGGAAGGTGCAAAGTGCACATGGTTCAGGAACTACAGGGTTTCTCCATCACATTTCCTAAAGGAGGTCTATTAAGATTTCACATGATTACAGCAACTCCAAAACTCATCCTTCTCCAAAAGGCAAGATCAGTGGATCTGCTACCCTTTCCTCCAAGGGGCAAGATCAGTCACACCCACTAAGGGCACAAAGCAGTCACAAAAGGTCTCCCACTGCAGTGCAGAGAATGGATAGACACATGTCCTCCCTCCCAGTCTCCCACCACTACCCACTGCAACCAGCTTTCCCATCCCCAGGGAAGAGATTCCAGCCAGAACACAACGTCTGGACAGAGGTTAAGACACACAGCAAACTTCCAGATATGAACCAACTCAAGAGCCAAGATAAACACTGCCAACACCTCACCTGAAGGGTGAAGGGCTGAAGGGTAGAAATCCACGGGGGTGCGACTCTGGGCCATGCGAGGGTCCATGTAGGAGGGCATCATCATCCAGCGGGGATCAAAGCCGAGCATCTGCGGGTGCGGCGGGTAGAACGTCCGCTGGGGGTGGGAGTGGGATGGGGGAGGATAGACCTGCTGCTGCCAGTGCTGCATCTTGTACAGCTGCTCCTGCAGGGAAGAGGATTGGACATGGTTGGGGTGCCAGGAATCACACTGGTCGGACAAAGGAAAACACATGCCATAATCAAAGGCTCAATTCCTGATCAGATGGGAGGGTGGAGCAGAGAGGGGTAACTCTACCAGCTGGGAATGTGGCAGTTGTTCTTCTGTAAATACCAGAGCAGCCACACTGTAACACCACTGTGGGCCAGGCTATGTGGCCAAACACAAGGGATCAGCTTTAAGACCACAATTTGCATCTTCGCAACACTCCTGTGAATACAGGACAGCTTCCTGTTAAACACCACTTCATAGCTGGAATCAAATACTTTAAAAGACGTTGCATTTTTCAGGAAAGGCATCTCTAATTTATTGAGTGTGTATATATATTAGTTCCACCTCTGTCAGCTTAACAAATTAGATAAAAACAACTTAAACCACATTAAGAGAGCTACTAATATTTTAGTGTTTCCTGGGCATCCTTCAGAGACAGGCTGGCACTTGCAGGTTGTTTCCCCATCTCCCACACGGACAGTCCACCTTCCCTTAGCTGAGGACTGTCATGATGTTAATTTGATTTGACATTTAACTTTCGCTTAAGGTCCAAAAAAATATATATTTGAAGGGAGTTTTGTGTAACAAAGAAAACTTTCAAACACTAAACAGCTCCAATTAACATGAAATGCATCTACTTACTTGTCAAACGTGCCACCATAGTGTTTTGCTAAGCTTACAACAGTGTCAGATACTGTAACTGTTTATTAAAAAGGCTGATCCCCAACTGCAGAGCAAAAGAGACACCTTGAAATCTGAATCTGACACGTCATTACAGCAAGGAAGGCTCTGATAAATGCAGATTATATCTACATTATCTAGTTTTCTGGTACCTTGGAGAAAATATTTCATTCACAGTATCAACACTTTTCCATTCTTTTCATGGAGCTACCAAAGCAGCAATACAAGCCAGCCAAACATGCACTGCCTCATACATACTAACATCACAGAGGATAAGAGAAAATAAAATAAAACTTCACGTTCTCCAATAGTGATGACCTGTGGTATTATTAGCATGACAACAAAGACATCCAATTCCTTTTAGTTTAAGAGCATCTCTTTTCGAGAGTAACATTAAGCAGCGTTTGCTGCTGTACATCTGAATCATGAAAATGTCAACTGCAGAGCAACGAGCACAGGGAACATCCATAAAAGAGCAATTACTGAGCAAAAGCCAATTGTGAGCTCCTCACTAAGATCTGCAGCAGCGTTGATTATATCCCATTTCAAGTGGTTATTTTATGAAGAATGGCAATTAACTTTGCATTATCTGAAGCCTGAATACTCTGTCCCTTGGTTTGGCTCTGTTGCCCTACAGAGGCTCACTGCATCTGCCAGCAGAGCTGCACAGCACGTATGGCACATACAGCACTGAAAGGTCAGGCAAGAGCCAAGATGCACAAAGCACTTCAGCTGATGTCTCAGTGCCCCAGAAGAATTTTCAATGCAACAAAAATGAAACATTTAAGACCAAACATTTTTATGGTGCAAAGAAAACAATGATCTGAAAGAGCCTCACAGAAAAAAACCCGAGTAGGTATTAGATGAGAACAGAGCAAAGGACCGGCCCTCTGCAAAAGCAGGAGGTGGAATGAGAAGTGTGCCACTCCACAACTCCCTCCCAGACCAGAAGCAGTCCAGCAACTTGCCAACCTAAGCACAGTTTGACCCTGGCAAGCAAATGGCTGCCCATGCCTACAATGGCAAGGACACAGCAAGCACTGAGTGACATGGAAGAAGCTGAACCCCAAGAGTTTTTCCTTCCCTTGTCCTGAGTGTTCAGGCACTGCAGCAGTGCTGAAGAACAGCAGCTCATCTTGTGCCAGAGACGTTCATCAGCTTCAAGGCTAGCCCAAGGAACAGAAGCTTTCCTGGGCCAGGCCTATACAAGCACCAAGACAGCCACTGATGCGCTCATGGTTTTGGATGTGAGAACATCCCCAGCTTCTCCTACTCATGTGCATTTGCAAACCAGAGCTCTGCCACAAACCACACAGTCCTAAGAGTTCCCATTATCAGGAGATGCCCAGACAACCATGCACGACAAGTCAACATTTCTGACAGCACTGTATTTTTTTCCCAGGCAAGTGACAAACCTGGCCGAGCCCTACCCATAGCAGCTCCAGCATCACAGGGTGCAAAGAAAACTCATGTAGCCCACACAGAGCCTTTTTACCCAATCAGACAGGATATTTCCATGATCAGAAGTACTGAAAAAGGCCAGGGTAAAACCCCATTTATCTCCTCCCAGCCTAAAGACTGATGGTGTTGAGAACTGAGCAAACAATGGTTTAGGGGTCCAGAAAAGGGGTTGTGAGCCATTTACCTGCTGCTGTTGCTGCTGCTGCTGCCTCTGGAATCGTGGGGGAAGAGACTTCTGGTATTTGTTGAATTCTTGTGCTGGTGAGGGAGCTTCTCTGAGCTCCTCCTCACTGCTGCTTTGGGCTGCTGCTGCTGGAGCAGGACTCTCCTCTTCCAGATAGCCAACAGAGGCATCCTGCGTGTGAAACTCAGGGGTTGCTGCAGAGAAGAAAACAAGCCCTGAAGAGCCTGCTCGTGACAGAGCTGGGAGTGCACCACCACCACACAACATACACAGGTGTGGGCATGTCCTGCTGCAATATGTGGCTGAACCTTACTACAATCACACATAGGATCCTTTACCCTGAGAGCCCTATAGAGGCTTTTGCCCATCTTGTTTGAATTATAAATTCTGAGATCCTCCTTTACTATCAGCCCTCTGCTTAAGCACTGGGGAGAAAGTCCTTTTCCCCTGGTTAGTCCTTAAACTTGCCAGCACTTACTGGTTTTCTGATCTATGGCCATGAGCACTTAATATTATCATCCAATCATGAGAAGCCCATGAGGCCCATTCCAACAAGGCCTCTGCTAGCACAGCTCACTGAGCACAGATAAAGGCAACTAAAGAAGTTTGCATTTATTTTAATAGCTTTTTTAATTTAATCAACCTTTGTGAACAACGCAAAATACTCTGCAGAATACAAGCAGCAGCTGATCTCTCAAGGGCAGCTGAAGGACCCTCTGAACACTCCCTCCCAGGAAGGCAGGACTAACTCTCCTTCCCAGCACCCACAGTGCTATCCCTCCTGCTGTGCTTGGTGTTTTCAGATTTTTAGGAGTCTTCAGATCCAGTTCCTTGAGCACAATGTGATGGAAGGATCAGAAGGATCCATTGTGTCATCATTTACACCAACAGAAATTTCCTCCCAGGAACTCTCCCACTACAGGTAAGAAGAGATCAGCACAAAGGCAAAAAAAGCACTTTTTACAGGGTGAAGCAGGCAGTGTTTCTGTACCTTTACGGAAAGCGTGGCCATTCTCTTGTGCAGTGCTTTTCTCTGTGCTGGGAGGTCGAACATCTTCATGCTCTGTGTGTTTCTGTGCCTCCCCACTCTTCTGAGCCAGTTTGCATTTCTGATCAAGTTGTTTGAGCTTTGCAGCACAGGCTGCCAGACGCTCCTCCCTGGCTCGCCGCTCCTCCTCCTCCCGTCGCCTCCTGGCTCTCTCGACAGCCTCAGAGATCTCAGAGTGCACAAACTTCTGTCTCACAGGCACCTTTTCTTCTTTATCCTCGAGGGACTGCTGTCTGAGAACACTTCCCAACGCAGGCTTCTGCCAGAGAAAAAAAACATTCCTCCATAAGCATGACCCAAGCAGCTCCTCTACCTTGAGATATGCATCCCATGCTGACAATATCCCCTTCTGACTCCCTCCCCTCCATCCTCAAGCACAAATCCCCCTGTTACTGGGAAGAGTTATTGCTATTTGGTTCAGTAACTCCATTTTCTCACTGACAACCCCACTGTTCTGGACCAGCTTCAATTTCTTTTCCCTAGTGGAAGTGCTATGCAGATAGATTTCTCTCCAGGTAGATATAAACTAAGACTAGAGAAATTAATCAGCATCCCATTTCCAAGAAAATGTCAAATTGGCCTCTTAAGGACAGTGATGGGCTTCCAGCTCACCCATATGAGTTCAACCCACCTGGTATTCTGAGGCAGAGCTCCAGCCATTCAGCTTCCTCGGAGGCTGCTGTGAATCCTGCACTTTCCGGACTGGCCGGGACAAGCTGACTGAATCATTCCAATTCTTTCCCTCCTCCAAGGTGTGCTTGACATCTGCACTGTCTGCAGAGCTCAGGGAACACTGTCGCTGCCTTCTGGGATCCCAGCTGTTCCTGTCACAAACAGCTTTATTATTGCATTTGCTACTTACCTCAAAAAGCACTTGCAGCCAGATCAAGTGACAAAGGCAACTGACTCTAGTAAAAAGGAAAGCTCACAAAAAAGCACCAGAACAAGTGATGTCCTTCTCTTAACGTGCATAAGGATCAACTCCACTACTGTGCAGCAGGATAAAGGCAAGAAAAGAAGAGGAAAAAAACCTGGCAAACTGGCAGTCAGCTGCTAGACCTACACATATCCTTGAAGATATGTAAAAACAGTAAAAACAACAAAGCCTCAGCAACAAATCAGAGGGATCAAGACTTCACATTTAGAACTAGTTTTTAAAGATCCTAGTATTGCTCATTTTTACTGAAACAACTGTAGGTACAAATAGAGTGACTTCTTACCACTTCTGTCGTCCATCTTTAAGAGTTTCTTCCTCTTCTTCATCTTCACTAAACTTCAGTTTCTCAGAGTAATCCACTTCATCATGAATGCCTACAAAGGCAGCAAGGGAGAATGGATTTATGAGAGGAAAGAAAGAGGTCCCTTGTCCTGATAAAGCTTACGGCCCCCTTAAACACTAAATTACAGGACACACAGGCTTGGCACGAACTACTCAAAAAGCCAAATAGCCAGCACCGGCTCTGGAAATCACAGAATAGCTTTGGTTGGAAGAGACCTCTAATGTCATTTACCAACCTCCCTCAAGGAGCAGGGACAACTTCAACTAGATCAGGCAAGAAATGACGTGAGCAGTGTGGACACACAGTGCTGAACAGCTGGGCTGGTCCCAGAGGAGGAGCAGCAAACAGCCTGGGAGTGGGGGCTGCAAAGGAGGACACAGTCACCACGCCCGACTGTGTGCAATTGGATACTGAATACCATGACTGAAAAGGCAGGACTAACTCTCCTTCCCAGTACCTACAGTGCTATCTCTCCTGCTGTGTTTGGTGTTTTCAGATTTTAGGAGTCTTCAGATCCGATTCCTTGAGCACAATGTGATGGAAGGATCAGAAGGATCCATTGTGTCATCATTCACACCAACAGAAAATTTCACAACTACACAAAGCTCGAGCATGAAGGCACTTTACCTGCCCATCCATCATCTGCATCATTGTCCAGCTCATCCAGCCCCTTCAGGTTCTCTGCATTGATGATGGTGGGCCGAGGCACTCGCTCCATCTGCTGCCGAACCGGACGTGTTGGGCGAGACAGGCTGAGCCTGTTCTCTTTTCTGCAGGAAAATACAGAATTGGTTAGAAAAAGAAAATCAAAGAATGCAGAGCTGAGTTTGTAACACTGAATCAGTCCTTTTCTACAACACACTTATATACAATGCATCTGAGTTTCTCTCCCTGTCCAGCAGTTTCTTCCTCTTATCTACCTGGTACCCACTTCCTAGAACTTATAGATCAGAGCTGTATCCCCTCCAGTCCAGGATCACACACCAATTCCCATGTCCACCTGCTCTTCAGACACACAATGCTCACAGCCTTGCAACATTTCACACCCTGAACCTGCCTCTCAAGTGAGAAAGTGATAGCAGTCTTACCCATCCTGGTCATTCATCTGGAATTGTCTGAAAGGTACCCGGGGCTCAAGGCGAAGCTGAGGAACAGGGAAAGACCCTCGGTCCAGAGATGCAGGGGTCTCAGATGGCTGCTGTGGACACATCTGGAATGAAGCAAAGCAGAACAGCCTTGTTTTTCTCCTTGCCACAGGAAGGTTTACCCAGATTAGGTTACAGCATGTGCATGGCAGCTGCACCCACACAACGGGGAAACAAACATTTCACATCTGGCTGCCCAACAGGCCACATGCTCACGGTTCCCTCTCCAGCTCCAGAAGGAAAGGGACAACTTCTCTTTGGGCTGAGCAAGGCTGTGCTACACAAACTAAAATCATGTCAAACGAACGCTCCCTGGGCAAGCCAACTGAGAGTCCAGAAAACACATCTCAGCTGACTTCAACCCCAGCCTTAGGTTAAGAACGAAGGACATCACAAAGGTGTGGAGAAAAGGGTCACTCACAAAAGCAGGCAGCATGTCATGGTAGGTGGGTGGCTGGTAGACGTTTCCCATGAACTGCGAAGCCCCTTTGCGGACGGGCTGAGCTGGGCGGAGAGACGGCTCCTTGGCATCGCTGGCGCTCGCTGAGGAGGGGGCCCCGTCTCCAGTGCTCGAGGTCTTGCTGCCCAGCTCAGCAGGGGAGGCGGTCAGAGATGTGGCAGAGGTGACGTTCCTCCCACCGCCCTCCCTCCAACTGGTGACATCTGGAAAGAAGGTCGTAGTTATGTTAATATTTGTAAATGCAGGAGGCCACTCGGCCAGAAAGTCTCGAAACCTCAAGTACTCTGGTCAAGCCCTAATTACCCCAAGGTTGTAGAAAAATATCAAGGATCAAGGAAAATTTCCAACTGTGTTTATTTTCTTAAGAGAGCAGAAGCATCAGCTGTTACTAAGTAATTGCTGCACCAGTGGTGTCCTTATTTGCCAATAAACCTGAACTCCTACCAGAGCGCTCGCTCCCCATCTCCACAGTCCTTACCCTGCCGAATTAAGGCCAATTAGATGCAAAAACACTCAAGGAGAAGCCACATTACACCACACACTAATTTCACTGTGGCTCGCCCAGCCCAGGAAGGTGCCTGCTTTGCAACATCACACAGCAATTTTTATTAAACAGTGTAGCAGATGACAGTCAATACTTGTCTGTCTGGACCACAAAACATCACACCACCTGTGATCATGTGCTAAGCAGCCTGACACATGTAACCTCATAAAAAGATATAAGGAAATGAAATATGGAACTCTTGATACTACTGTGAACTGGCACTCCCTGCCCAAAACAGAGGCAATGGGGTTACTGAGCTGGGATAAGGCAGAAAGACAATCCTTCACTCACTCTGGGGGCGGAGGCTTGGTCCTGGCCCATACGACGGATCTAAGGCGCCCTTTTCTTTGCCAACCTTGTCCTGCTCTCCAGCTGCTTTCAGCGTCGGAAATTCCTCGGGAGAGAAGGATAACAGTCGGCTTGAGGCCCTTGAACCTGTCAGACAAATAAGTGTGGGACTCAGAGAAGATCTTTCCACTGGTTCAACTCCCTTATGAGATCAGCCTGGAAACGTGTTTCCTGGGAACCTGAGCCTCTGGCATATTTAAACCCAAATTACTATCGTACCAGCACCTCACTTCACATCCCCAACACTCTCAGACACTGTCACCAACACAACAACACATGTCCTCACCCAGCACTCCCACACTCAGGATCTACATGTAAATTCTCACATTCAACCAAGCCAGTGAACTTTCTCAGCTTCCAATTATTTTTGTGAAGTACAGAATTCAGACAGAGGCAGAGATATAAATTCTGCAAGATCACTCATAAATGACACCCTGCTATCAAGTATTTGACATTTCTATTCAGACTCTTTTTGCTCAGACCTCACTCTGCCAGGGAAGTCTACTATTAAAATTTCTGTTGATGTATCAGTGAAACACCACAGGTAAGGATAGATGCTCTCTCTCCTCCTTGCTGCAGCATTTTCAAGATGCAAATCACTGGCCAGATCAGGCCAGGTTCATTTCTAGTCATTGGCAAATTGTCTTGCTGAGTCATCAGTCAGCCCAGAACAACAGTTCTCTGTCAATTCTAAAGATCTACCAGTGACTGGAACACGAAACACAGCAATTCTCCTAAATCTGTTGGCAAGATAACATTGAATAAATAGAAATTACAAGCATTACTGTACTATTACACATTAAAAGAATTGCTTTTTTTGAGAACTGTTTCTTAGTGTTACTTGGCTAAAGCTCTCTTAAAAAGGGCATTTCAGAATTATGTTAGAAGTATCAGCAATGAGTACTGAAGACTTGACAAGAGTCTCCTCTATCTCCTTCCTTGATCTGAAGAGTCAAGACAGATAGGCTTAAGTAATTTTTACTTTCTGCAACTTGTACACTGCACAAGACTTCCCAAGTGAAATTTACAGGAAAGACTCTGCAACAGCTGCACAAAACACCTTCATTTTAGACAGATGAAAATACTTGAGAAGGACATTGCCTAAATATATCACTCTAAGACAGAGTTCTGATTTTTACTGAACTAGAATGGCAGAGGTAAGTGTCCTTCAGGGGAGACATCTACCCCCAGGTAAGGCTGCACCATATAAGGGACTATTTATGTGCAGCTATTAACAATTTAAGCAGCATCACACTGAGAAAAAGTTTTTTGCCCCTTTTTTTTTCTCCAAATGTCCTTTATATAAAAACACAGGCATGGAAAAGTCTGTTAATAATCTATTAGACCACATTTATTCAGAATATGCCCTCCAAAAGAGATTTTACAACTCTAAGACTTAAAATGAGCAAAAAGCAAGAGACTTTCGTCTTTGTAAAACCTGAATTAGCTTAGAAGGAAAAGCAATTGATCAGTGCCACTACAGAAGAGGTGCAAGCATGAGATGGCCTAAGAAATCCTTTCAGACAGATTTCTGATTCTTTTGTGATTCAATTACCTTCTAATTAAGCTGCTCTTAGCCATATAGGTAACTGTTTTCTTGGGTTGAGAACTCTATATTAAATGTGACCCAGAGTGATTTCAAAAAATCCTTTAAGAACATTGTTAGATGATCAGATTTTCAAAATGACTGTACAGGAGGTCTACACAGCAAGACTCAAGAAAGTAGCAGTTAACCAAACAAGACAGTCTTTACACTAGCCACCATCCTCAGGCAAGTACAAGTTTCTGCTTTAACGTTTAGCCTTTGAGAAACACCCTCTCACTAAGGGCCTCATTTAATTTAGGGTAAACTTGTCCCCTCTGCTTCTGCAATCACCACCTGTCTCAGTTCTTTCAAATCTCTCTGCAATTTCACTTGACAAGTGAATGGTTCCAGGTCTGTTCACATTAAAACAGTGGAACTGAGCTGTTATTCTCACTATGGTTTTAGTGGCACTACTTAGTGCAGCTGGAAACCACCTCCTGTGTGGAAATGGATGCTTCTGAAGACAACTCCCAATTCATGTTAACACTGCTTCAGGATTCTCAGTCAAGCAGAAGCCATTAGCAGTAGTTACTGAGGGAGACTTAATAGCAAGGCCTGAGCCAATGTGTAGGCGAGTGCACCCTGCAGCAGCTGCACTGCCACTTCCACCCACCACAATCCCCTGCGATCACGGGCACTGTACAACAACATTCCAGCCTCGTTTCTGACTACCCAGTTAGGTGAAGATCCCCTTGCTCCTGCCTACACTTCCCCTCTCCAATGACCCTTCTTCTTTCTTCTCTTCTAAACCCATCTCTCCCCTATTTCACAGTGTTTACTGCACCTTTGTCACACACTGCCTGAAGATGCTCCTGATGGGGCCAAATGTTTCCTTTCTCCTTCAGAACCTTCCCCTCCCAGAACTTCCTGCTGCATCCCAAGAGCATGATTTGCTCTGGTTCAATGTGGCCATGAGACACATTCTGTTCAAGCCATGTCTTGTGCTGGCAAGCCCTGAACTGATTCAGCTGCATCATTGCAGCCAACACACCACAGACTGGAAACAGGACTCAGAAGGCCTCACTCCCATTCTGCACCAGGCTGACAGGGAGGGCAGAAGGAATGGAGTCCACCCCACCTCATGCCTGTCTGGGAAAAGCAGGCACATACCAGTTCTGTTTATCATACTCACCACCTTCTTGTCCTGCTGGCTTTCCATTCAGCTGTGCCCATGACTTTGGTCCACCTGGCACTGAATTTGTACTCTGAAAACAAAACAAAGCAAAAAAAGAAACCCCAACATGGATCAGTTAAGACTCATGATTGTTTCTCATTTCCTGCCTGGCACCTGCTATGGGTTCAGGCCTCCAGATCACCCAGATACCACAGATCTCCACAGCTTCAAGCTGGGGTTACAGTCATCTGTTCCCCACTCCAGTGTACTACAATGCTACACTAAAAATCCTCTGCTCTGCCCATTTTCACCAACTATTTCCTCAACCTGTACTCTCATAAAGCTTTCCTTTGGTTCTGCTGCATTTTTCCAAATGGTCTCCTTAATCTTCCACATTTGTTCCATGCTACACCTCAGCTTGAAGGCTACCCTACTTTCTCATGCACTAACCACTCTTCTACTCTTCAAAACATAACTCCTGTCCTGATTTCCCTGAACCTCAAGGGCTGGGAATTTTTTTTAAACCAGAAGTGTGAAAGCTGCAACACATAGGGCCAGGTCCTTACACTCTCTGGGACATCTTACTTGCCAGTAGCTTTCTCAGGTCCTAACACTAGCTACTTTCTCCCACATGACCAGATCTCTTCCCATCAGTCTCATCAGGCTGGGAGCAAGAGCTGGATCTGCTGTCATCAAGCAACGTTTGAATTACAACCAAAGTAGAACAGTTTAGAAGTGCTAACCAGCTATCCCACATTCCAACCATTTTTTCCTAGACTGCAACTAGACTTACTGCACACATTTGAGAAATATAGTTCTGTGTATGTTACTTCTGCAACTGCAACACAGCACTCCTGGTGCACACCAGCTTGGACTCAAGAGAGTCACTTCCACAATAACTGATTATACAGGAGCTTTTTCTTAAGCACAAGGCAACACAGGCAATTAAAGCCCTCAAGTTGCCTGGGGACAAGGGAAGCGAGGTGGCAGTCAGAGACTGCTGGCACCTACCTCCTGACTGATTGACTGTGTCGGCTTCTGTAAATTGGAGACAGATTTCTGCAAACCCTGCTGCGGCAGCGACTCCTGCAGCTGTGCAGCCGTCACACTGGAACTGAGCAGAGACACCAGAGGTGAGACCAAAGGGGAGGGAAGGCAGGAAAAAAACTCTTGACAATATGGCAAGTTACTAAAAGATCAAGCCAAAACTTGGCTCTGTGTTGGCACAGACAACAGAGAACTGATCCCTGTAAGGCCTGACACCAAGCACAGCAGTGTACATCCACTGCTGCCTGCCTGACAAAACTCACTGAAGATTCACTCTACCCACCTCTTTTGGTCTGGCTGATCCTGCTTGTTTGCCCATCCTGTACCGTCCTTGGGTACTATAATGATGTTGGGGTCGTTTCCTTTGTTCTCAGACTTCAAGCTAGGCAAATTTGCAGGAGGTGGCATGCGCCGGGCAGCAGCAACTTTCCCAAGACTCTGTAAGCCATGTCTAGGAATAACTGGTGAGAAAGGAAGAGCAGCAGGTCAGAGGGCTGTATCCTGCCAGATAAGTAACCTTAATTAGGAAGCTGTGGCTGGGTGCAGCTCCAACAGAAGTGCTGCTGCTATGTCAACACACAGGTTGTTTCCCCACAGGACCACAGATGCAGCCGTCTGTTGTAGCAGCTGGCAAACAGCTCCTACAGCAGGAGGGAGAAAAATCATTCTCCCTAACAAAGTATTCACAGAGTCTTTTTAGGAGGATTTGCACAGGTAGCTCTCATTTTACCAAGGAGAAGCAGCATCACCTTTTTACAGCTTGGGGAAATGGCCACCCAAGTCCACCTCTTAGCACACAAACAGGTGACCTAACCTGGGAATCCTGAGATCTCAATTTTCCAGCTCTATCCACCAGACTACATTTATTACGAAAGTATTTAATTTTCTGTTTTCTGTTCTCACACCAAATCCAGAGCCAGTCCAGGCAAGGTCATTTTTTTGAACCCACTATCTACTTTTGGTCATACTTCCACTGCAAAATCAACTCAGGTTCTTTCCCAGTGGCCTTCAGTCCCTGGCTCTCACCTCATACAAGGTCTGACCAGCTTAAGGCACTTCAGTCAGCCCTGCCTTGGCACAGCCTAAGGCCCTGGTAAGGCTTCCACTCAAGTTTGCTACCTGCCCCCTCTGCAGCAAGGACACAGGCTAAATGAAAGGGCCAAGACCCCCAGCTGTCCTGTGTAATTCTTCTATGTCTCCAGAATAAGAGCAGCACAAAGAGCCATGGACATTTTCCTCTAGGTCTTAATGAAACACAGACTTTGACACCTGCACCCACACTGCAACCCAGCTGTGTCCCACAGGATCAACAACCCGAATGAGCTCTGCAACAATACTGTTAGAAGACATCAAAAGGAGGTGTTTCTTACCTGTAGTTCTGATAGCTTCTACTGACTTTCCTTTATACTTATCAAACAGGCTGAGAGTCGAGTACTTGCTTTTCCCATCCTTTCCCTTGGTTATTTGCCCCAAACGATCGGACATTGCGATGAAATGTCATCTAGTAAGGAAATTTCTCTGCGCCGCTCCCGATCTGCCTTTTAATGCAAGAGAACCAGGAAAACCCCATCAAACGAATTGTTCAGCCACAGACAAGCAAAACAGAACACACACAACAGCAAGAACTGAACATACTCAGTGAGCACACACACCAAGTTACAAGTTTTAACTCCCTTCTCTTTAGTCACAAGAAGCTTTTGGGCTTTAAGATTCACAAACTGAATGAAAAGAACTGCAGGAATACGCTTCTCATGGCATTTTTTTTCTGCTACTCCACTGCTGAAAGATGTGAGATTCTTTAAGTATGAGAACACAAGAGAAAGCAGTCAACAAGTCCATGCTTTAAAAGAGTGAGGCTGACAATAAACAGCTAAACACAAGGATTCCTAAACATAAATGCCAGAAAAGCACTGTATCTTTGTATCTTATACCACACTGGAATTTATCATTGCATTTCCCCTGAAGCACCAGGTTTGTAATGTTCAGATTATGGTTCCACACTGGCCACAGTTATAGCAGCAATTAATGCTTTGACAGCATCACTGGAAAGCAACAGAAGTATTTCTCCAAATCCCCTCCTCCCATCACCTGGCCATGGAAGGAGAGTTAAGGAGTCAGAGAAAACTGTACAACTGTCAAACTGTTCAACTGTACCACATTCAGATTCTCCAGCCTGTGAGTTCAGCTGTTCTACTATGAATTCTCCAAACACATTACCAAAAATTACATTCTTCTATTGCTGGCATCTTGAACATAATTTTTAGCTTGAAATATACTTTCTCTAACGGATGTGGTTTGTTAATTTTTTAATCTGATCTTTGCTGGCACAACATGCTGTGAGTAACACCCATCATGAAGTCAGTCTCTTTACTTTGACTTTTTGGCTCTTGGAGTCTGGGATAAAGATGAAACATGCAATGCTCACACTGTACATCAAATTTTGTGTCATAAAAGACACTTTGCTTACTTTCAATGGACTTGTCTTTCATTTTTTTAAAGCATCATTTTGTTCTAAATTTTCTCAAATCTAAGAGCTTCATCTAACCTTTTCGCACATAATTTAGATTTCCAGATTTCTTGTTGTAAAGCCTCTAGTTCAAGCCCAAAACTGCTGGCAGTTTCATTTTACCATCTGCTAGGTCCCATTCTAGGGTTTCAACTCTGTGCTGGGAGTAACAAAACACTATATACATGTGTGTATGTATATATACACATACACTTATCTCAGATCTTCCCACACCTCACACTTTCTGAAACTCACCCAGTTTTCTGAAAGCCTTTTTCCAACAGAGACAGCAATCACTCTTTCTGAAAGAAATTATATCTGACCAAAGGCTACAATTCCCATCAGCAATGCCTTATCAAACTCGATTTGTAGGTAAGAGGATTAGTCCATCACACATTACGTACAAATTAAAGCACAGACTGTGAACACACTGGATAGAGCCAGACTGGGAATGCAGTGCCAACTGCAACTGGCCCAGTAAAGCCCATCTAAAGGCCGCTGCTGGGACAGGTGTCTGACCAATAAGCCTGGCACTACACAGCATTTGTTCTTGCACTGCGGGATTTAAATCAGGTCTGTCAGGAACAAGAAGTAATGGACTCTGTGCTAGGTGTCAGGGAGAGAGAAACAAAAGTGTTTTCTGTCACCCAGTAACAGCATCCACAGGATGCTCGGGAAAGACACCAGTCTCCCCAAGAAGCCCCCCACAGCATTTCTGCTGGACCACCACTCAGGGCTGCAGCATGAAGGCTTTGTGGAGGCATCAGGGCTGGCTGGCAGCCTTGAGGCACCTCTTCCTGCAGAGTAGCAAATAGATCTTTGGCTCCAGTCTGGTTCATCTTTGCTCAGATGGCCACCATGTGCCAAAGAAAACAACGGCTCCTCCCTCGCTTACCCATTTGCACTGTATTTTATTAGTAGGACAGACATAAAAGAGAGGGAGAAAACACACTGATTAGCATAAATTTGGCAGGAAAGCACAAGTTGGACTGAGAACAATGAGCTTTTTGAAAGGGGCAGAGTTGTGGGGAGCCCCAGAGCAGAACAAAGAGCAGAGAGTGCTGTGCTGGCAAGAGCACAGGCACCTGTCTTTACAGGTATATGGAGCCTTGCACAGGGAGCCTGGCTCAGGGCCTATCCACACCATGTCAAACCTGTACCAACCTCACAATAAAAGCAGTAACACTACTTTGAAGTTTAGATAGCTCAAACCAGACAAAATTAGAAGGTGTATAAAAATAACCCAACAACAACAAACCACCTACCCAGATCAGGTTCAGGAGTTATCTGGTTAACAGAAAAGCCCCGAGTTCCTAAAAGTCAGTGTGCAAATAGCACTCAGGGCAATGCTGCCAAAGAGAAACCCTGACAACAGTTATGTAACTGGGTCTCAGCTGCCTCTTGATTACATCTTCTATCATTAAAAGGATTCAGGAAGAATAAACAACTACTTCACAGCAAAGGAGCTGGGGACATGTTGGGATAAAGTCCCTTGTCAAACTTTCTGGGACAGACAAAACTGCTGTCTGGATAAATAAAATTTACTTTCAATTCCTTCAATGCTCTGAAGATGAGAAACACAACTTTGTGTGTTATGTACATGCTGCAAAGGGGAAAACGAGACCATGGAGAGGTGAAGCAATTTCCACAGTCATTGTGCAAAGAGGCTGCAGTGGCACCGAGCTGGGTCAGAGCTGTCGGACTGGCAGGACCTTGCTTCCTGTCCCTCCTCCCAGCTGCAGATCCCAGCTACTCCAAGGATGAATCAGCCAGGGAGATCACTCAGCACCCAGCTCACCCACAGCACTTCAAAAAGGCCACAGAGCCTCCCAAGTCTGGCACAACACTGCACTATCTTCCCATCACACAGTTAAGCAAGGAACCCACGTAGGGACCATAAAGGCCTTCTAGTCTTGAAGAGCAAAGCCATTTCTGATAAAAATCGTGGTTCATTTAGAACTTAAGTGCCAGCCATGCTCATTCTTGGCAGAGCTGGAACCAGCAGGCACATGCTGATGCTGACAAGTGAAAACTGACAGCCCCGGCAGAGCCTCTGACCTGTGCTCAGGGCTCCCGTGCCCGACAGCTGACCCTGAAGAAAGCAATATCCCCTGCTACAGAGAAATCGTAAAAAATCAATCAGCAGCATTTCTGCAAGGTTTCTCTCTGGGTTTATAGAGGTCTGTGGGGGAAGGTTTGCTATCAGTTTCAGCATGGAGGGTAGCTTTTCTCATTCTCAGGACTTGCAATGTCTCCTACTATATCCAGGGACAGCACCAGACAGCAAAACACTCAGTGTCTGTGCAATCACAAAATACTGCAGTATGACCAGTTCCATTAGAGATCCCAGGATACAAATAACTGCACCAGAAGCACTTGGGCAGAGAGCTCCACTGCCCAGGCATACTGATATCCACATGGTACTACCCTAGATCCAATTTTTGACTACTGATCCTGTCTAACTGTCTTTTAAATGGGCAAATTCTAATCCAGAAAGCAACAATGATATTTTAATGTGTTTAAGACATTAGACTTACAAGCATGCAAGTCTTGGAGCCACAGCAGGAATCTACCGAGCCTGTCCAGCAAAAAAACCCACATGAAAACCTTGAGTTACTGGCACTGGTAACAACTGGAAACCCCTGAGCTGAAAACAGAGCCAAATGGAGGGACAAACAGGATTGTCTGCAAAGCTCTTTGCAAATCTATGTATGCAGGAGGCTGGGCTGCTGGTGTTTTATTCACAAGACTTCAATGGAGCTTGAGTATCTGGAAGTCAGCCAGCCTCAGCTAAGCAGGGCAAACAGATTTATGAAAGGTAACACACATACTAGAAGGAATCACTTCAGCTACTCACACACGACTGAGCTCTACACCGAGCACAGTCCTGACTACTGCAGATCTTCACTCCTTGCTCGCTTCACAGCAGCAGTCACCAACACAAAACAAAGCAACAGGACGGAGATTAACAGGAAAAAGGTTTTTCTCCACAAGCCAAGAAATTTCTGACATGTAACTTTATACAAATTGTTCACAAACTCACAGGTTGGAAAAGCTAAACGGGACTTCCAGAAGAGAAAAGTGTCTGGAGTTACGTTAAACTGAAATACATTGTGGTTCCTAATGTTACCGGCAATGTGAAACCTTTTTAAACACACAGTACAGTTTTACAGGAGATTAATGATGTTCACTCTTCTTTAAATACACAGGTCAATTTTACTTGTACTCCCACAGCTGAACATTCACCTGTCAACACAGAGATACCACTACTTCTGGAACATGTCCCATCAAGAACCACCTATTCGTGAAACACTCATCACCTGTCCCAGTGATGAAAGACACCACTGGCTGTCCTTGGGAGGGCTTTGGTGAGACACTGTCATCACCTGCCCAAGACTTGCTGTCAGATCCACTTTTATCCTGCAGAAGCCCTGTCTGGGCCACGCAGAGATCATGAGCCTAGCAAGGAAGGGACCAGATGAGCACTCAGTTCCCAGCAGAGATTGCTTAGTAAGGCAGGAAGCAACAGGAGAATATCAGCATCCAAGTACAAAGTCAATGGGATCAATGCAGAAGAGCTGTGCAGCAGGCAGAGGCTGTAGCAAGAGTCTAAGCCACAAAAAAACCTCTCACTGTCATTCTACTGCATTACTTCCAGAGGGAGATGCCAAGATTTGCTGGTACACCTGAAAAAGGTCCTGCCAAGATCTGGATGTAACACCAAATGTAGTGCCAGAAAATTGCACCAAACCCTGCCAGCCAGAGAGAAGCAAGTCAGGAGTCTGCAGTGCAGAGAAGAGATAACACACCTCAACACCAAGCTCCTGATTCACAAGATATACCCTCCTTGCTTGGCTCAATAGGCATATTTGGTGGTACCAGTTCTTTTAATCCTGCACAATTCCAGCTTCTCTCCATCTCCCATGAACCTTGGCTCAAGGAATGGGAGATCAGGATCACACATGCCATGTTTTTTTGCAGAGGTATCCTGTTAGCCATGCAATACTGTTGGAAGTTGTCTGCCAGAGGACTTGCCTGCTGTCCAGCCCCACCCTCAGATCTTTAAGTCAAGCCTCCTGGGATTTGTAACATGGAGCAGGACTATGAAGAGGTGAGGCAGAGTCTTCTGGACAGTGGATCTATCATTAACTCCACACTTTGGAGCTCTACAGACAGTGGTAGAACATGAAAACAGGGAAAGGAGACAGAAAGGGCATATCCTGTCTGATGACCTGACATCATTTTCTCAGTTCTGCCTTCACCAAGCTCACCTGCTGCCCTCTCTTCTGAATGTACCAACAGGTTGGGAATCACAACCACCATCAGTGAAATCACTGCACATTCTAGAGAAAACAGGTCTTCGCAATGTCAGGTTTGGCCTTAAAACACAGAAGCTTCACCTCTCTGCTAAACAGCTTTTCCAGTGCTGGCAAGGCAGGCAAGTCAAAGGCAGCTAGAGAGGCTGGAATTGTAACTTACTGCAAAACAGATAAAGCAGACTGGAGTCTGGAGAATAGCTCAATTGTATTTACACAAAAACATTAATGAGTTCTGTGGTCCTTTCTGTGCGGGCTGGACAGACAATACCACACCCTGGAAAGGAGCCCTGACCTCCAGTAATTGAGGATACAGACAAAGAAATAGTTCATCCTGAGTATGCAAAACTATGGCACAGAGCAAAAAAAAACCCAGTCAGAAGGCTGGTTCACAGCCCACAGAAAGTACTTATGAGATCCTGTGCTCATGAAACTCCCCCTCTTTTTCATGCAAAAGAAAACCCAAGGTGTGTGCAGCTAATTCTTTCCTTGAAAGGAGTGTCTGTTTACCACAGCCAGTTTCACCCATCTGCCCCACCATGCTGCAGAGAAGGAAGTGACCCACTGGTGGCAGCTTGTCAGGAAGGTATAACCTTATCTCCAACCCAAGAGGAAGTGCTGCAGGGCTTTCATAACCAGCAGGGAAGCAGGAAGTTGTCTCATCTGGAACAACCTGGAGGTACCAGATATCAACATTACACTCCTTTACCCTCTCAGCCAGGCCTGGAATGTGTTAAAGGAGACAAAACTCAGCACAAATTGAAGTAAAAGAGCCTAGTTCTTTGCTGTTATACATTTCAGAGGCAAAACCCAGGGAGAACAAAGCAGCTCAGCTCAAGAAGGATCACCTGTGGCCTCAACAGATCCAGATCCCAACCTCTCTGGTACAAGAGGAAAGGGAAGTGACCTCGTGATCTCCACGAGCTGCCTGCCCAACAAGGCTCATATTCAAGTGCAAATCTTTACCCTTAAGAGCTGTACTTTCACTCTGGCTCCTCTACAACCAAGGGTCAGAGTTGAAACACACGACCCCTAGCCTCCACCATAGATTCTGCCTTCCACTCTGCCCTGCTGAGGTTTCTCTGAGATCTCAGCGTCCAGGGGAACACAGAGATACAACATCCCGTTCCCTCAACACCAAAACAAGGAGACTGATAACAAGCAAGCAATTTAAATCCAAATACAAAAGAAACACCTGGCATAATGCTGTGTTGGCAAAACTTGTTCAGAAAGATCCTGGCAACATTCAGCTGAACTGTAAGGTAAATTGGGCATTTAGGTATCTGAGCAATAATAACAGATTGTGAGTAGGTGGTGGGGATGTCCTGATGGGTAACAGGACTGGCACCATCAGTCCAAGTCAGAGGAACAGTTTGCTCAACTAAGACTGTAGACAGCAAGAAGTCCCAGAACTCAGGTACCTGCTTCAGCCACCCAAACGTGTGCCAAGGCCCTCAAAGAAAATGCAGCTCTTCACCAAAAAGAAGCAATTTGCAAAGAAGAATGAAACAAGGAGGAAATGCACTGCAGCATCACCTGCCATGTCCAGACCACTCCCTTCCAGTGGAAGAGACTGTCCACTGGCATAGAACATGCACCCAACCCTGCCTTCTGCTCCCCAGGAGCCCACGAGGGCAAGACACCCACACAAGCAGAAACTTTTCTCAGGCACTGCATCACACCTTAGCTCTGATAGGTGAAAGCAAAGACTCTTCCATCACTAAAAATAAACACCACTGCAAGTAAAGGTTGTGAAAGTCCCTTAGTCCTGATACTTCTGCCTACACAGACTTTTAAAAGTCATCTCAGCCATGAGAGCCATATAACCACGTAAGACACAGCAAGAGCAGCATAGGTGAAACACCTGTGCTGCCAGTGCCAGAACCCAAACATAAGGCTCCGAACCTTTATGTGCAGCTTATCTTGGCGAGCACCACTCATCCAAGGCCACCACTGGCCACTGGAGAATGCTTCTCTGTCAAACATTTCACAAATCCTTCACCAGGTCCCAAGCTCAGCAATTTACTCCATCCTTCAGCAGTGAACATAAATTTTACTGCAAACAAGCAA